TCCTTTCATGGTTAAAGCGTAACATTGATCAAAAGAATGGCAAAGCAGGGGCGACTGGATATAATCAGCATTTGTGTTATAAATAAAAAGTGGTGAGTATGACTCACTCATGACTGTTGATTCATTGATGGGATTTGTGCTGTGGAAATGTAAATTATGCTAAATTTACCATGTGAGCCATTATTGTACAGATAAATCCCCCTCACATTATATATGTGTTCACCCATACCCCTTGCTATTGTTGGTTGGAATTTACAGTATTTGAGGGTTAGCTTAGCATTGCTGTGCAGCTTCCATGGCTGAGATTAATCCTGCTAGTGATCATTCAGCCACACTCCTCAAGGTAGTGTTGTATCTAGCTTTCACCGTGGCCTTCACAATAAATGGTTACGATTGCACTCGGAGCGAAAACAGATCATAGAGCAGTCTAATTCAATCGATGAGATATCAGGCATCTCTTTGTCCTCATAAGACTTCACTCAGCTGTACTGGGGAGACTGCATCAGCCTGCTGTTATGTAATCATGTTAGCATTAAAGCTTAAGTGAGTTTGGATGTAGGGAGGGAACTTTTCTCTCTCTCTCTCTCTCTCTCTCTCTCTCTCTCTCTCTCTCCCCTCCCAGGGGACAAAATGAAAAAGGCAAAATAGAAACAAAAAGGGCATAAAGGGAAGTAAAAATGTAAAAATAACATGACAGGTGACAGACGGAGAGACAGAAGATTTAAAGAGAAGAAGAGTCTGGCAGCTTGGAGAAGAAAGATAAAATAAGTACAAAAAAGCAAGGACAGGAAGTGGTAGAGAGCGAGAGGGGTGGTGCGAGGTAGACCGGAGCATGACAAGGTTTATTGTGATGACAGAGAGCATGTCACCGGGAACTACACATGCCTACACAGACAAACAGACAGACAGGGAGGGAGGGAGACAGGGAGGTGTTGGGGGAGGCTGGACTAGAGCAACTAGAAGGGAGGGAGGGAGGGAGAGAGGGAAATAAACAGAGTAGCCGTTCCTCCCAGCAGCAAGTCTGAGGCGGAGAGCCACTGTTGCCTCAGATATCTCAGCTGATAGCAGCAGATCCAGGTTCTGCTCCACTCTACTGTACTTCACCGGCACCGACTTAAGCTCTCAGGTCACTGAGAGGTTGGTGGCAGGGGATTTAAGGACCTCCCCTTAGAGGTTTATAGAAAGCTGCCGGTAGCTACATTCAGACTCGTCCACTGTTAAGGAAGGGGAACTATCCTGATACCAACCAACCGGAGAAACAGCAGTCAGATCACTTGTAAACAAGGCTGAATGGGACACGTGTACTGACCTAACTAGACTGCTGAGAGGCTGCAACAGCAGAAAGAGTTCTTCTTGTGACACTCCTGCAAAGAGGGCAACATGCATATATTACAGCCGTACTGCATCAACAGGTTGGTGCGTTTGTGTGAATATATTTGTCCATGTATGAATGTATGAGTGTTGAAAGTGGGTGTGTGCAGCTTCTCCCATACCGCATGTTCATAGGAGATAAAGTAAGAAGTGTGTGTTGAGAGCAGTTAAGGAGGGCTCGCCTCTGTTTGTCCGCTGTGTTATTGTTGGTGCTGTTTTTAGTCCACAAATTAGATTTCCAAATTATTATTACATTAAAATACTCTAATATCTAATAGAATGCCGTCTATTGTCAAATCAAACAAATCACCCCGCCCCCCTCCACGTGATTCTTGAAGTATGTTTAATTAACTGATTTGTTGCTATCATTCTTTTTGCTAAAGTAATTAGTAGGGAAACTTCCTCAAAGAAGTACATTCTGTTCGTTTGATGAGGTTTGTGAAAGGGAACATAGTCCCTTATCAGTTGAGGAGGAGGGTGTGTAGCCTGACAATCAGCTGGTGGTAATTTGTTCATTGTGAGGGGTGTGACATCAGTTGTAAATGTATGTTAGAGATTCTATAAACCATGGTAATTGAACAGTGAAGCTTTTGTCAACGCTGCCACCCCTCCACAGCATCTTCCGGCTTATGATCTTTCAGCTGATGCCTTCAGAACAGACTGGCACCTATGTCTGTCTTTGCAGCATTTGTTGCAACTGTATAACCACGAGTTCCCAGGATGGTGTATTTAAACTATTTGTCAGGTTTTTATGTAACTATAGCATCACTCAAAGCTTTGTAGCAGCATGCGTTGCTGTCTGCCACAATATTTTGTTTAATGCTACAAATGGATGCTAAAGTTTGACATTATCAAAGTGTCTGTAAGCGGCATTAATGAATATTTTTAGTGACAATAATGGATCAAATAACTGTAACGTAGAGGTGTATCGCAATATTTTACAGATTTTCAAAAACACAATTGATTTCACTGTCATAAGGAATGGATGTAACAGTGTGTTTATTGGTTCTAACATAAGTGCCTAACATCAACATGTGACTAGGTTACACAGTAGTAATTCTGGAATAATTAAAAAGTCAGTGTTTTCAACCAGCTCCTGAAAAATCTGCAATTGTTATTATTTTAAACTGCCTGTGCTGTGCAAAAACAGAAAGCTTGACAAGCAATGGTGAACCATCTGCAGAGCGCTTCAGCCTGTTTTATCTTATTGTTTTGGTCCAACTTCCCACAATAAACCCACTATATTGTGCAAGCCCATGACTAAACAGCACACAGACAAAGTTAGCAACCAGCTGGTGAACATAGTGGCAAGTAAAGTCAGATATAAAAAAAAGTGAGTGAATCTTGGATTTCAATGTCAGGTGGACAAAATTCCACTGATTCCACTAATAATGTTTCTCTGTTTCTTCTTCATGGGTAAATAGGCAACCGTTTGCTAACACGTTAACCAAAGACATATTGTCAGTTTGTTCTGCTGCCCCCTAGTGGGCCCCAGAGATTAATTATTGCAGCTTGCACATTTTCTTGTAGTTTTTATTGTAGTATTTTTGTGTTTTTAAAGTCTTTGTACTTACTGTATATTTACTTTGACTCAAGGCTCACAACCAAATAATAATTGTCATAGACATTAGACCTCCTGACAATAATTTTTACATGCCTACCACCAATTCCCTCATGTTGTGGTAGAATATGGTGGAAATAGACCTTTCAGCGCTGTCATAAGTTCTATTAAATGGCGCTTATTAATGATTTTGTTTGTTTTTTAATCAAAGAATTGATATTGTGGGTTTTTCTGTTATGGTGGCTCACCTCACAGTCATCAGTAACCAGAGTATACAGTTTCCCATCGTGTTACTGCCTGGCCATGTGCACTGCAATAAATGAATACGTTTGCTCGACCATGAAGAGCAGCAAGAACCAAGGAAGAGACGTCAGAGTTGGTTTTTTTTTTTTTTTTTTCGGTTAGAAGAGGAAAGTGGATTTGACAGCCAAAGGGAGGGAGGGGAATAATGGAGAAGAGCGCTGTTACCTAATACTGCTGATGGAAGTTTAGAGAGGAGAGATGAGAGGAGAGAGATGGTCAGAAGGAGAGGGAAAAACAGAAACAACTGGGAGGAATGAAGGAAAGTTGAGGGCGCAAACAGAAAGAAATGTCAAATTCTCTCCAAAATGGGAGGGAAAGAGAGAGAGATTTTATGGAAAGAAAAGCGGAAATGGGAATGGGAGGGATTTTGGAGCAAACAGACAGACATGGGGATAGACAGAAAAAAAGGGAGGGAGAGAGGATGGTAATCCAAATCTGCCGCCAGGAGCAAATGCAGACTCCATCCTGTGAAAGTGAGAAAAGAGGAAGGGTAGAGAATTATAGAGAGAGAGAGATATGAGGTGGGGAAGAGATCAGTGAAAGAATTATCTATATCCTGGAGTGTGTGTGTGTGTGTGTGTGTGTGTGTGTGTGGGTGTGTGTGTGGGTGTGTGGGTGTGTGTGTGGGTGGGTGGGTGCGTGCGTGCGCGTAGCCTCGATATCAAATATTTGTGTGCATGTGTTTGTCCATGTATGTGAATGGAGGCATGATTCATTTGATTCTTAGTATTCCAAACACACCCTGAAAGCACAAGGTGTGCTTGACTTTGAATTACAGCTATATAGGTATAAAATTGGATATGTGATTGAAAGTGAAAAAATACCCAGTATTCGGGCAGAAGTAAAAAACAAATGAATTCATGAAGACGCAGCAGAGAAAAAAAGTGACTCAGACATCCCTCTGGTCGAGCTCATCGGGGACGATTCATCTGCAGCCAAGCAAACTTTAACCACGCATACATGCCACCAGCAAGTCTGCAAGCCATCTGACACAAGTCCATTCATTCAGGAGAGGACATTTCCTCTTTTTTGTTGTTTATCAGTGTACAACAAAAATGTTGGCTGCAGTTGAATTTCAGACTGAGATTGTTAAGCAGTTAGTCACATACTACCCATTAGAGCTTTGATCAGGCCCAGAAAATCAGGCCTGACCCTAGGCCAAAAAATAGTTTATTTACAAACTACTTTTCCAAGTAAACAACATTGTGCACATAATATAGTGCAAATGATATTAAAAATGAATAAATAACAAATCCACTCGTTAATTACAGTCGCATACATTATTAACAAAATATTAAATATCTGTACATATCTAAGTAAAAATCTCATTCTGTCCGAGCCCGACCTACAGCAGCGGTTTTGGGCCAAACCTGGTAGGTTGGCTTGGGTCTTATTGGGTTCGGGCGGAGAATCAAAGCGGTTATGCCTTCTTTATTGATTTCAAGGGGAATCCGACTGAATCCGACACGATGGCAGACATTAAGAATAACCATATAGAAAAAGCCAATCTTCTCTTGGTCATATAGAGGCATTAATATTAAATTGAAATGTTTCATATCCTGTTTAAAATGTAACCTTTGTCTCTGAGACATAATCAGCATTTACATTTGGTAGATTATACAATTGAACAAGTTACCAGAAAAACGATGGATTATTGGATAATGAAAAATGTCTTTTCATTGCGTCATGTCATCTTTTTCACATTGTAACATTGTTCTCTCTTCCCTTCTTCCCCCTATCCCATCTCCTTCCTCTCCCCTCCCAGGTGGCCCGATGTGCCGAAGAGAAAGAGCAAGAACAGCCAGTGTTCGGTGAAGAGTATGTCTGGTAAGGATTGATCATCTTCGTTTTGTTGTTGTTTCCAACCAAGCGAGTGAACACAATTCAAAACGGGTTCCTTTAAAGATGAAGAAGTCTTTTGATGTGCCGGAAGATTTGCTCAGTGCTCAGTGTAGCCCATCACCCCACAGCTGACTCCCCTTGGCTTTCAGTTGCATCCTGGGTGTCATTACTATGATAATCTTCTCCTCATCCTTCTCTTTCTGTATTATTTTCTCCAGAGGCTTTGTTGAGCACAAATTAGTTCACCTAGGTGACCAAAGCCTAAGCTTAAGATGTTTGTTCGAGTAGAGATGTAGACAGGACTCTTAAGGTACAAGACTACAGTACAGACAAAACAAGTCGTACAAATAAGTACAATGAAATGATATACACCTTGGTACTTCCTTAAATTAATAAGTTGGGTTTTTTGTGGAAAATTCATGTCCCAATGAAAAAACAAAAAAAACTAAAAGCTAAAGTTTGAAAAAATTGGAGAAAGAGTTGTGTACTGTATTTCTCTTTATTTCTTAGTTTGATTTGTTTTAATTTAGGCATTTTAAGTCTTCCATATCACATTTACAAATGCAGATAAAAAGACAGATTGCAAGGGCAATGTGTGTTGGAAGATATGTTCGCCCAATTGCATACTGCAGCCATGTAAGACCCTAACAAGATACTCATAAGCAACCTCTGTAACCTACTATTTTTAATTTAAAAGACATTTCATACATATCTTGTCTTTGCATGTAGGAGTAAAAGTGAAGGACTTTTACATTTATCTTACAAATGACAATGACAAACAGAATTCCACTTTTAAAAATAGCTTTAAAAATACAGCAGTATCTTTTTAAGTAAAAATGAAAGTCTCGCAGACAGCAGCTCTTTCAGATCACCACTGTGGATTTACTGTCTGGGTGGCTGCAGTAGTATGGGAAGAGCCTCACTATAAATCCCCTCCACCGGAGCGCTCTTTGCATTTTCGCTTTCCAGAACCCTCTAAGCATGTGTGTGTGTGTTTGTGAGGCTGTGAGCAACTGTGATACAGTGGTCGGGTGCTGTGTGTGTTAAGGTGTGCGTAGAGCTGGGGGGAGTGTTTAGGCATCATTTCAATGAATGGTTCTGTGCTCTTCAAAAAGCAAGTGGGCTGTCTTTTTGAGGAGAGAGCCCTGTCTGAGCATGCCCAGATGACTGTCAGTCCTTCTCCAACATCATGACAGCTTAGAGGTTAGAGTTCTGAAGAGAATGTACATATTGTTATTATGTAAGTATGAGTTAAAAGGATCAAGAGCTAAGGGAAATATGTCACCTCTCAAGAGGAATAAAGAAGCAAATGAAAAGATGAAAAGTATATTTGATGAATTCTGGGAATATGACTCTAAACCTCATAAGCCTGCATGATACCAGGTCTGTGTGCAGTCTGATCACAGTCTCTTGGGGCCGTATGCACAGGAGCTTCTCTGAGGCCCCTGTGATAACACTCAGCCCCCTCCTCCCTCTCCTCCTCCACTCCTCGTTCCCCTTCATCTTCTCCTCTCCATCTCACTATTCTTCTCCTCCTTCCTTCTCATCACCTTACCTCCTCCTTACCACTCACCATCCCACTGGACCTCCCTCGCTCGTACTCATTGTTCACCCTTCTCTCATTCCACCCTGTCTTCCTCTTCAATCTCCTCCTCCTCATCCTCCTGTTCCTCCTCCTCCTCTCCTATAGCTCTTAGTGTCTCTGTTCCAGGGTACATCCCCAGCTACCTGGAGAAGGATGAGCCGTGTGTGGTGTGTGGGGACAAAGCGACCGGCTACCACTACCGCTGCATCACCTGCGAGGGTTGCAAGGTACAGTGGAACATCTCTGTCTCACTATATGATTCTTTGAGAGTGGTGGGTGAAATTTGAACAGTCTCTAGCCATTTGTCAAGCTTTGGATTTCTGTTAAAGCAGTGTACATAGGGCTGTAGTAAGAGACGTGTGTGTGTGTATATATATATATATGAGTTGAGATTGATTTAGGTGTTCCAAAAAAATACAAGAGCAAAAGTGTAACAACTGGGTTAAACAATGTGTTTATCTCCTGTAACGTAATCTAGTTAGCATATCCAGCTAACTAGCTCAGTGTTATAATAATTTTAAAAAATGTCTCCTTGCTGGTCCTTCCAACAAACTCAGAATAATTACCATGTATTTATATCCATATTCATTATATCCTGACAGTAGTACATGAGACAGTTAATCTGTGAAACAATCAGGTTCCTCCGGCTCCTCCTAGAGCTCCTAATGGGATTTAAGAGTGTAAGATGTAAGAATCCACCGAGCTGGAACAAAAACAACCAATCAGAGTGGAGAAAGATAGTTGACTGTTGAGTGTCAAATACAGATGGTTTGGGACTCTGGGAACGAGACTCAACAATCAACTATCTTCAAGCCTCCAACCCAAAGCGTCTTTATATCTTTCTTGGCTCTGATTGGTTGTTTTCATTCAGGCCCGGTAGATTCTTTTCAGCAATAATGACAAAAAGTTATTTTTATAATAGCAAGCTGCAAGTGTAAGCTAAGCAGGGTCAGTCAGATTTTACAGTTGTCCTTATATTTATAATTCTAGCACTAACTAGCTCAACACTTCTTTAGGAGAACAATGCTGTTTCTTTATTAACAGGATGCTAACCTTTTGCCTGGGATACAGCCGTTAACTGCACATTTAAGACCCTTTTATATGCTTCTCATTTTAAGGCTGGAAACATTAAAAATGACTGGAGACAGTGTTTTTCAACCAACTCATGAAGCTGACATTTGCCCAATTAGCTAGCTACAGCAGATAAAATCTGAAAAAATATGATTTTGATTATGTATTTCTCTTCTCATTAACATCTTCATAATTTGAAAAATGTGGCTCGAGCTCAAAATGACCGCTGGCATGACATGTAATTTGGAATTACATCCTTGACATTTAGTTTTATTTTGCTGTCACAGTACCACTCTTTGAGCCATGAGGCTAATCAACACTGGCAGAATTGTCTAAAGCTTTTTTAGTCTCCCAGAACAGAAGTACGTCAGTTTTAACAAACATCAGTTCATACTGCCTTTCAGATACCCCTCTGACACACAACAATATGTGATTCTCTTAGCTATTGTTTGCTTTTGCTGTTTGCTGCTCAAAGCATAAGAAAATTGTAAAGTCCATCATTTAGATTAGAATATTACATATGAGGCTTGTAGTACTGAATAATGGGCTGGCTCTGAAGGCTCAGACTAGATGTGATCAGTCAGTTTCTGAAATGACAGCAGCCCTAAAAGGAACCATTTTAAATTCTGACAACAGCAAAATTATTGCTTAACAGATGCCATGGCAAAATGACACTGTGAGCACCTAGAGTCAAGTGGCACATAAAGCAAGCTTATGAAAAGTATTTTTCCTGACTGAACTTCTGCTAAGCTTCATGTATTGTTGGGGCTAACTTAATTTTCCTGGTTGAGTGAACCAATTAAAGGCTCCTACAACAGCCTTTTGTATTCACTAGAATGGAATTCATTTCTGGTTTCTGTGGCCCCAAGCCTATTGGGTCCTACAGAAGACGTGAATCTTCAGCAATTGGTCACAAATATAGTTTAAGTTTTAAAAAAGGCTCAGTAATTTTTAGGTCAACCCACCAAAACTCGAATCATCAATGAAGACCCCAAGTTGACTCGCATTTTGTCAGTCATATCTCTGCACTATTGTTTTTTAGCTGCATCATTGTACATGGCGACAGCATGGCAGGCTGTTAACTTTACAAGCCAAGTTTTTCTAAATGATTACAAACCACAAAACGAACTGTGATGGAACAGATAACGTGACGCAGGGCAGAGGGCTTACTGTCAGTGAAGTTGGCTAAACCGCTTTTGAACCAGGCGGTGCTACAACCTCCTCTACTGCCGTCCACTATGATAGAGTCTTGGTGAAAGCTTTTGCTTTCTCTGACTGTGTGGAAATCTGATGTTTTCACCTCACAGATGACAAAAAAAAGCATTCAAACCTGCAGTTGGCTAAAACATGAGGTTCATGTAGCTGTGTTTCCACCCAGCTGATGTAGGCGTTTAGTGTGGCGCTGAACTAAGAAAAAGGAATGAATCATTGAATCGTCGTATTGAATAGCCAAATCAGAGTTTACTGACAAAATGCGTCGGGTACAGCCCTAACAATTTTCTAAAACAGCTGGCACTGTAGCTTTTAGCCAACATGATTCAAACGGCAGTAAATTGTGATGTTACAGAGTACCATTTTTAGCTGTGGATTAACACATATTTGGTGCTCTATATGTGGACTGGACTCAAAATAAACTATAGTTCACACCACCACAGTGTAAATGTTCTGGTCTCCCTGTGTAAGATTTATTTGCAGCTGTTTTTCATGCTGTTCAGTAGCCAACTCTAAAACTAATAGTTTGATATTTTGGGAAATATGCTCATTTGATTTCTGGCATAAAGTTAGGCAAGAGGATGGATACCACTCTCATGTCTGTCTATTAAATACAAGGCTGGAGCCAGCAGCCAGTTAGCTTAGCACAAAGACTTAGAGCTGAGCAGTTGGCTGGCGAGCATTACAGACTCCAGGAAATTACTGCTCCTAGCCAAGAAATAGTCAGGCACATAACTCTCTGTCTCTGAAAGCTAATTGTACTGTAATACTGATTAGAAACTGAAGAAAACAGCTGCCTAAAGGTTGGAAACATGGAAAGTCTTAAAATCTAATCTACCAAAAAAAGATCATACAAATACAAATACATGCCAGGAAATAAACTTGTATTTGCTGTTATTATCGTAACAGCAACATTATTCTCCTTTTCATAAAATCAATTCATGTTTACTACACTGTACAGTAATTACTTTGGCAGGGGGCCTCTTAATGGAAGGTGTGGGTGTGTTTATTATCCAATGATTGGCGTCCTGTAGAGCGGCCTTTCCACAGCCCCTAAAAACAGCTTCAGCTATTCCCGTACCGTCCCGCCGTACTCTCACGGGAAGCAAAGCACACTGAATCCCCGCTGTGGTGCTGAAAAGCAGAAGTTTTTTTGGTATTATAATTAACTGCTTTTTAGTCTTTATGGCTGTGTGCTAAGACGGATTAGGGAGTGACCAGTTAGCAAATATGTTTTCTTTGATATGTATTATGAAGGATCTAAAAAAAAAAAAATCTTTTCTGAGATGCCTCCCTGATACTGCTTAAAATCATGTCTTTGTAAACCACTTCAAGAGTGTGATTCTAATCAAAATGCTCCTCAACTATCTATAGAGATACTCAGTCAGCCATCACTTCATTACTTAACCATTCTTGGCAAGCAATCATCCGCTTGCAATGTGATAAAGAACCGTTTAAAGCATTTGTTTTATGCTAATCAAGACACAAGAACATTTAATTTAGAAGTTATGGTCCTCAATCACTGAATGCTGTTTCTGCCTCTGTGTTCTTCTTTAGCAATTTTGCTCATTTTGTTTTCTTTCTTTCTTTTACTCTTTCTGTTTCTTCTCTATCCTGTTTCCTTTCCACTCTTCAGGGTTTCTTCCGCAGGACCATCCAGAAGAACCTCCACCCGGCTTACTCCTGTAAATATGAAGGCTGCTGCATTATCGACAAGATCACCCGCAACCAGTGCCAGTTGTGCCGCTTTAAGAAGTGCATCTCTGTGGGCATGGCCATGGACTGTGAGTTATTATATATATCATTCTTATCACTACTAGTATTTACAAAGAGATCCACAAGGTTATGGCTGCCACTGTCACTATGCAACTGTTGAAAACTCGAAATATTTTTTGCAAAGATAGGACCTTGGCTCAGTGAATGGCAATGGCAACCTTACCTCTAGTATCACTATGAGGTTGATGTTTTTGGCTTTTCTTACTGCTGCGGTTGGTAAGAGGGTACTAGATACCAGGCCAGCACTGAGAGGCTTAGATAGATCGTCTACCCTGAGGACACTGCCTAAGAATACTGTGCCTACAAGCTCAGGGTTAGATCAAACATATAACCTTGGTAGCATATGTTCACTGTAAAACCTAAAGAGTTAGTTCAACTCAAACCAACAGTTTAAATCTGTTAACTCTAACAATTTAAGCATGAAAAAATATTTGATTTGAGTGCAACTAACTAATTTATTGTTTAGGAAAGGTTAATTGTTCTTAAAACTAGTATATATATATATATACTAAGTATATTACACTCATAAACAGAATTTCTGCAAACTTATTTGAAATGTTTTAACTAGTGCTGGCAAACGATTAAAATATTTAATCACGATTAATCGCATTAATGTCATAGTTAACTCGCAATTAATCGCAATTACATACACATTTTTATCTATTCTAAATGTCCCTTGATTTCTTTTTGTCCCATTATTTTTTCTCATTTTAATGCTCTTATCAACATGGAAAAGTGGATCAGCTTGCTTTGTGCAAATGTTGTTTTTATTGAAAACAACATTGGCATATACTGTAGTGTTCAATTTCACACTAACATTCTCACTCTGAGCAAATAACCTCTCACACAATGTAACACTGTCCATCAATAAAAGGGTGAAAAAAATACTTTGTCTCACAAACAGCCCCTTCAACAGCCCTTTCTAAGGGATCAAAACAGGGCGATACAAAATAAAATTACAAAGTGCACAGGTAAGGTAAACTAGGACTGAGTCTATAGTGCAGTTAAACCATGGCTTAATACTTTCCTCAAGTTTGCTTTGAACATAGCAGTCAGTCTACTGCTCTTTATTCACCAGAGGCTCAACCCAGCCTCTTATTTCAGAAAGAATGAACAGTAACGGTTACCAATAAAAGGTAAGCCTACTACTTCTTTGCCTTGAGCCAGTTACTCAAACAGACAAGCCTGTTGACATTTTCAGACATCAAGGAATCCATCCATTTCGGCGTCTCACGCTCGCCATCCACTCAAAACGTAACGTCTACTACTCTTAAACAAGTGTGTGCGGAGTGCCTGTTGTTTTGTTTCCGGTCTAGCTAGATCCGGTGTGGTGTTGTAGTTTTTCTAACGTTACTAGTTGTTGAAACAGCATGTGAAAAAAACTACGAAGTGTGCTAGGCCAAAAAGAACTTTAATCTTGCAATAAAAAAATTGACGCCGTTAAAATGGGTTTGCGTTAACGCCGTTAATAACGCGTTAAACTGACAGCACTAGTTTTAACAGAATTGATTGAAAAGTCAGACTGCTATATGGTCCCCAATTATCTCATATTTTATTGATTGATATGATTTTTGATGTGACCGATGAGGGTTTCAATTATGAATAATGAATGTTTGTATACTATATGTTCATCCTCTCACTCAGTGAATGAATATCACTGCCCACTTTCAAATATGGACTCTATTTGGACATTGTTAGGATGTCAACATCTATGGACTACCTCTACCCCATTTATACCTGTGTTGTATCCTTGAACGTGTGAATGTATATGACTACACCTGATAAAGGGAAATAAAAAGAAAAAAAGAAAGGTCAGACTGCATCTTCTTTATAGAAATTTTACCACTTAAATTGAATGTACTCAGTTTTCTTACACTAAAGCAAATTACCTGTCAAAACAATAAAAAACAATTTACAATTAATCAATTATCATGTGGTGGTAGCCAATGCATTTCAGGACTTTGGGGCATACGTTTTTGTAATAAACAAAGTGTAATTATTTCACCAATACTTAAAATACTGCACATAAGTGCAACAATTCATTTCTGATTTGGATTTAACAATATGGAAGCCAATTTCTGCCAATGTGATGGAAAAACCAGATTCTGTAAGTCATTATAATGAGAAACTTTCTCAAAATACACTTTTGGCAACAAATTGGCTTCCATAAATTAATGGGAATGAGTGACTCAGTTTTTTGGGAGGATTAATTTATGTTACTTCTTTATTAAGATATGCTGTTAGGATACAGTATTAGACTGTTGTGTGGCTGATTACTGATGTAGAACAAGTATGTGCCACATTTGTCTGTATTATGTGTGTATGTGTACACAGATTTCTGCACTGCCTTGCGGTCTGACTAGTTAAGAAGAGAAGTAACAGCACACACACACAAACACAAACACACACACACACACACACACACACACACACACACACACACACACTCAACAACATCATCTATTTTCATGTTGGGGATGATATTAATTTAGTAGTACAGCTGCTCCTGTGAATAAAGGAAGTTGTTTCTGCTCCTCTGGATATTTTGATGAAAACACAAATTCAGAACATCTGGACTTGACTTCCACCACAGTGCACTTCAGTTCTGTTTGATTCACTATAGCAGCAGTGGTGCTTTGAATTCTGTGTTGTAATGTGTTGCAGTTGGGCCTCCTAATTAATAAATGGAGAAACAACTGTAGATATATATAATAAATAAAATATGTGCATACACACACTTTTGCATGCTGTCCAGGCTGTACAAGCTTTTGAGTGACATCATAAACCCTCTCACAAGCCATCATGGAGGGACGATCAAGAATACATTTTACACAAATAGTAGCAAAATATGTTACACTATGTTTTTACAATCAGGAGTCTACACAGGGAGTTTTATTTTGAAAACCGACATGGAGGTCTATGCCATGTAAAACAAAAATTGTTATTATTGGTATTGTTAAGACCCCCACTGTAATCTCACTGCATTAATTCACCTGAACCTTCTCTTCCCCCATCAGTGGTGTTGGACGAGTCAAAGCGCGTGGCCAAGCGGCGTCTGATCGAGGAGAATCGACAGAGAAGGAAGAGGGAGGAGATGGTTCGGACGCTGCAGACAAGGCCAGAGCCGAGCACCGCGGAATGGGAGCTGATCAGGATGGTCAGCGAGGCCCACCGGCACACCAACGCCCAGGGCTCCAGCTGGAAACAGAAGCGCAAGTTCCTGGTAGGCTTTTAGTCCGGAGCAGACTAGGCCTTCAGACAGAGCGCTGTTGCGTAATGAGGAATAGAAATGTTACACAAACAAATCAATAATGTCCAAAAAATAATGGGAAGTTAGTTATCGTATTTTGTCCCACTGATTTGGCCACATGGTCAACAGTCGCAGCAGCAGCAGCAACGTCTGTGTACACAGCCCATTCAGTTAAGATATTTAACAGTCCTTTTTCACAGACACAACTCAATCAAATCTGAATATACAGACATGATACACATTTTTAGATTCAGTGTGACCCACTCTTTCTAGTTTTCATTACTTATTAATCTGCTTAGAAATCCTATTTAAAGATGCTCCTTATAACTCCAGAACTTATCATTTTTTTAACTTGTCTTCAGTATAAAAGTAATCCAGTGATAGTTGTCTTTACATCAATGGGTACATTGCAAACAGGAATTGCTAATGGCTTATTCGGCACACTTCTTATGGTGCCAATTTGCCAAATTGTAATAAAATATAAGTGGAAAAAAACAGGGCTCTGGTTGTAGCATGATTATCCCCAAAATCCAATAATATTATGATTTATATATTCTTTTTCTTTTTGTAAATTCAGGCTGCTTTTAAACATACTTGCAAACTAGAAACTAAAGCACTGGGATGGAAAAACTCACCAGGGTTTGAGAAATGCAAACTGGTCAAGGTCAATTTGCAAGAGCTCAAAAACTTGACCAAGAAAAGTTATTGGTAACGTTATATTTTCATTAATGTGCGTCTAGATCAGGACACTCTTGAGGTAAGCCTTCATCACAAGCTTTCATTCAGATTTGTATTAATTACTTTCAGTATCCATGCGGAACTTCTGCACTCTTCAGTACTGCTTCTTTTATGTAGCTCATTATTCCAAAATGTTCCGCCGGCAGTATGTTGAAAGTTGTTCCCCGCTTCAAAAATCAAGCTAACACATGAAAGAAAGCGCCTTCGTTTCATTTTTGACAGCACTCCTTTTCATCAGCAACTCACTCTGTGCCGTCCCATGTGATCAGTGGCACGTGCAGCTGTGTGTGTCTGCACCACCATTGGTTTCCTTAAGGCAAAGGTCAGATGACAGTTACCAGGCAACCATTCCATAGAGGCAAAGATGGGTTTACAGTCAAAAACAGTTTTTGAAGGCCTGCTGACGAATTGCTGAGGGTCATTAAAGCGGCCAGTCCAAGATGAACAAAGAAGAAGAAGGATGCTAAGTGGAAAAGAACAGATTCCATATTTGGGAGAAAGTGACTCAGCCAATCAGAGCCCAGATACTACCTGTTGTTACAGCAACTTCACTGCTTTACACTTCGGGTTAGCTGTGATCTACTGAAACCAAACTTTGGAAGGTTACATCACAGGACACTTTCTGCTTGCATTACAGAAGAGTGCACATTTAAGTACAGTCAGTAAAAAACATGACTGATGTGATTTACATCATTCAGAGAGAGCGGGTTGGTTTTCAAAACTGCACTGTCGACACTTAAAACCTCACACCAGTTTTTGTGAAACTACTGAGAAATGATGGTGTTTTTTCACTATTTGTAGCATTTGAAAAGCCATTCATGAGAACAACCAGAATAAAGTAGTGTATTCCCATCCACAATCTTCTAACTGTTCAATGTCAGTACATGATTTTAGAGATTTTACAGTTGTTTTTTATACTTCAGTAGGTTCCTCGTCCCTCATCCTAACATCCTGCTGATGACCCCCAAGTTTCCCCTCTAGCGATTAATAAAGTGTATCTGTTTCCTCTCTGTTATGGTTCTCAAGTTCCCATTTGATCAAAACAGGATAGGGATCAGCTGTGTAGCTATGAATGGAAACCTGTGCAATGTTTACCACATTCTCCCAATCAGTGAGATAACCTCAGCTCTCCCCGATGTTAAATCCCCTGTCACGCCGATAAGCTGCTTTGATTGGCAGATGCTAAACGCCTTTAAAGTAGTGGTCCTCTGTTTCTGATCACACTTTATCCATGTTTGTTTAACGAAGTGCATTAGGCTGTTGGATGTCGTGCTAAAAGTGCATCGCGAAAATATTGAATGTATTGAAAGTATGCTGTTATTGCTACAACCGTCTAAACTGACTTCATTTGTCCACGTTGTACTGCAACATAGCTCATCTATTTATCTTTACATTACCCTGTTAAACTCACATGAGGTCTTCCTCAAATACAGTCTAAAATCTTAGTCTCTAATTTAAGTCTGCTCTCCTGTCTACTGCTCATACGGTCTTTGATGGTATTTAAATTGGTTCCAGACTGTTGCTATGTGAGTCTCAACATGGCAACAGTCCATATTTTAGGATCTGTACAAGCCTGTAAACCTTTTAAAATTTTAGGATTTCATTCTGTTATCCAGTGTTCCTGTCCAGCCTCACTGGAAAAACTGGAAAACGTAAAGAGAATCTAAGCTCAAAGGCGAACTCACAAGCTATCTGAGCTTTCAACCGCAGCTCACTGTTAAATATTAGCATTTCCTAATGACGTTTTCAGCCGTGAATGCTCCCGTCACCTGTGTGATGTCTTGTTTCTAGTCAGATGATATCGGCCAGGGTCCGCTGGTGCCCACTTCCGATGGAGATAAGGTGGACCTGGAAGCCTTCAGCGAGTTCACCAAGATCATGACCCCCGCCATCACGCGCGTCGTCGACTTTGCCAAGAAATTGCCCATGTTCTCAGAGGTAGGTTCAGTGGGTGTGTGTGCATATCTGTGGGTTCCAGTCTATCATCTGCCTCACTGCATGGTAGTTTAAACACTTATGGATGCTTTCATCCAGAGTTATTCACAGCGTCATTAGTGCTGACATTTTTGGCCTGGGTAGCACTCAGTCCTAAAGCTGGCACTGCTGCACCCTACATGTAAACCACACCACTTCCTCTGCCCTGTAGCTATTAATTCATGAAAGACTTTCCAAATATAAAAAGGTTTATCAGTTTAACATGTGTTTAACCCCTCCCCCGATTGTCCAACCATAGCATAGCACCCGTACAGCAGGCAGACCTGTCAAAGCGGTGTGGATGGGAGCCATGGGGCTGTAGTCAGAGCGATACTGATGCCCCCCCTCAAAAAAAAAAGAAATGTCTGCTCTAACATAAGCTGCAATCATTTGCATGTCCTTACTAGCTTACTGCAGTAACCATGCCAAGAAGCACATCATTTCATTAATTTGACCCTGATAATACAAGGACTACTAGGTCTACACTGCAATACAACAATAGTTTGTGGAGACTCTCACTGTATACTGAAGAAAGATTTCTTTTATTGTTGAGTCTCATTCCAAACGTCAGTATTTGACGGCATCTAAATGAGCTTCCACAATTAATAAAGGACCCGTTGTAAAATTTCAAATGGTAAATCTGTCACCATTAAATAAATATATAACTGTATTCAGTTGTGAATAGTGCAAAGCTTAACAAACTTTAACCCTGGTATGTTATGATTAATCTCTTTCCCTTTTAAAAATTATTCTTTATTTTTTTCTGAATAATTCTTTTCGAAATGATTGATCTGTAGACATTTTCTTTTACTTTATAATAAAAACTCCAGACTCGTCGTCATGAAAACCTACTAACGAGCTTGTTGACCTTAACGAGGTCTGCTGTTTGGGTACTCCCTCTTTCAGCAGCCTTTGTCATGCTGCTTGTCAGCTGTTATTACACCAAATAATAATCAGCCCCTTCCCCCCCACCCCCTCTCTCTCTGGATGTGATGACTCACCACTCACTGATATTGCTCTGCTCTCTACAGAAACGAGTGTGTGTGTGTGTGTGTGTGTGTGTGTGTGTGTGTGTGTGTGTGTGTGTGTGTGTGTGTGTGTGTGTGTGTGTGTCCTCGCCTGTGTTCCACCTAACTGAGTGCAGTCATCATGTATATTGTAGGGGCTTCCCGGTTACATAAAGTGTAGCAGGGGATTTGTTGGGAATAGAAAATGATAGCTCTTTCTCTGCAAGGAAGCACTCCAAGATAATGACGTTTGACATTGCAGAAAAGCTTGATACCACATCTTACTGTACATTTAAAGTTTTTTTAGTTAATGTTATATTTGCATATTTTGCCACAATTACCACAGTCCATCAGTAAAAATAAAGTGAGCAAAACATCTTCCTATCAATCTATGTCCCTCATTTTCAACTAGCAAGCAGCCATTATATTAACTTGAAAACAGATGATTCTGCACTAATCTGGAATAGTAATACTTCTCTACATCCAATCTAAAGTTCTATCATCACCTTTTAGACTGAAATTCTTTATCCGCTGATTTAATTTCCTCATATTATTTCCTGATGACCTCACGTGTTTTCCCAGCTGCCTTGTGAAGACCAGATCATTTTGCTGAAGGGCTGCTGCATGGAGATCATGTCGCTGCGTGCCGCTGTACGCTATGATCCAGAGAGCGAGACGCTGACGCTGAACGGCGAGATGGCTGTCAAACGCGAGCAGCTGAAGAACGGCGGGTTGGGCGTTGTGTCAGATGCCATCTTTGATTTGGGCAAGAGCCTGGCTCAGTTCAACCTAGATGACTCGGAGGTGGCTCTGATGCAGGCCGTGCTGCTCATGAGCTCAGGTGAGGAAGAAGTTCTGCTGCATTTTAACATTTAAACATATCTTTTCTTATTCCTATCATTTCTGATGACATTGTAGTTTTAATACTTTGTTTTTCCGATTTTCACCCAGCTCTTTTACGTCAGCAGAGTTTTCTTTTAGTTTAGAATAAAAGATGCTGGAAAAAAACTGAATAAAATATTTAATAACTGACACATAAATAATACAGTGAGTGAAGGCTTTGCTGCTTCTGAGCTCAGATCACTTAACTGGTTATAAATTCACTTTTTACATTTTCACGTTAACAACTAAATGTGTCTTTTCTTTACACCGAAGTCATATCTTCTGTAAGAACAAGGCGTTGTGTGTCTTCCTACATCAAAGGAGAACTCCACCAGTTTTACACATCCAGATCATTGATAACAGCTTGTGTTCTGTAGAGGAACTTTGTCAATTCTGAGAAAATCATATCATCATCACATTAAATTTCATTTTACTTGGTAAGTTGTCCAGATTTTCGGTGGGAATTAGCCAATTCTCGATTTTGAAAATAAAGCTTTTTGTTGATTATTACTACAATTAAAACAATTACTTACAAAATGATTTTTGTATTCAGTCATGGGATAAACATCTACTGTTTTTTTTTTTCGTGGGAGTCAGGCTGATTATATCCATGGGAACAAAACCAAGCAACCTCTGGGGCTGACAAATGAAGCTGACCAAATTGAACACACTGGGATAGAAAGGGACTATATATATAAATATATATAAATATTAAGGCCCTGACACATCTAACCATCAGTCGGGCTGTCAGTGAGCCTCTGTAGCCCTGGAATCCTGTCACTGCACAACACTAGTTCCTAGATAGTCACTGTCTGTGGAGCATGGCCACTAAGACAATAGTCTAAAAAGTCCCGAATTTACACTTCAGGAAAGATGAGGTGGAGGTTGCATCAAAGTAAAAAATGTAAATCTTCTTTATCACACCAGACCGTTCAGGGCTGACCAGTATGGAGAAGATCGAGCAGTGCCAGGAGGCATACCTGCTGGCATTCGAGCACTACATCAACTACCGCAAGCACAACATTCCCCACTTCTGGCCCAAGCTGCTGATGAAGGTGACCGACCTGCGCATGATCGGAGCTTGCCACGCCAGCCGCTTCCTCCATATGAAGGTGGAGTGTCCCAACGAACTCTTTCCCCCGCTCTTCCTGGAGGTCTTTGAGGACCAGGAAGTGTGACTTACAAAACGTTGAGCCCCCTAAAAGAACCCTGGCCACAGAAGGAAATAAATGGGTTGGCTTTTGGTAGAAGAGGAAGTGTGTGGGAAGGACAAGAGGAGAAGAAAAACTGGATTTCTTTTTTTTTTCTTTAGTGGGAACATGCCCTGTTAACTTTGTTTTTCGTCCCTTTTTTGTCAAACACCCACAAGACCCACCACCTGCCACCAGCAAACACACATCAACATCACCAGAGAGAAACACAGTGAAAAATCCAGCTTTGCTTTTTGTCATTCTGAGAGGTACACACACACACAGACAGTTGTGAGCCGTTATAGATATTCACAGATTCCAAACTCACTGCCATGAACATACAGTAAATCTATATGCAAATCTCAGCAATTAACTCTTCTTGCACCTGTATGAACAGCTGTACTCTACACTAATGCAAACTGAGGGGCTTGGTAATGTCTCTATTCCCTCCACACCCACCTGTCAACTAAAAAAAATATATTTTTAATGTCCGGGACCTGACCAGTAGCTCCTCAGACAGTCCCTATTCCCACCAATGGCGTCCCCTGTCTGCGGGTGCAGCCCACCCCCTCAGTCCACCGAGGCGCTGTGAGTGTTTGTCGACCTACCTCCCTCACGTACTGACCTCTCTATCTCTCTGTCTCACATACTCACAGAGACGCACACACATTATGTACGTGCACAGAACACACCCCTACACTCTTACCTCATACCTTGTAAAATGTATTTCCTCATTTATTGTGTGGGTGGTGGTCATTTATTGAGAAAACATGGAGCCATGTAGTCCTCAGTTACCCATGTTACCTCTTTGCTCGAGTTAAGAGAAGTTACAGTGGGAAAATTTTGTATAAAGTCCTTATCTATAATGTATCATTTACACACACACCTACATGGCACATAGTAGCAACAGTTGCTTTGTGCATTATTATGTCTTATAACTGCAGTTATAAGACAATATAGGTATGATTATAATGGATTAAAAGTTTTAAGATGTTCTGAACATCATGGTTCTCTCTGTGAATGTACTGAATGAGGAGTGTGCTTCAAGAAATGGTGTATTGATATCTACTAGGCCTTAAGGTTTGAGGTGAATGCTTGTTCAAGTTAAAGCAGTGGTTCAGCATTTTGCTTTTTTGCCAAGAGTTAGATGAGAAGATTGATACCACTGTCCCACACATGAAGCTACAGCCAGCTGCCAGTTGGCTTAGTTTAGACTAAAACTATAAAAGACTGCATAATGTCATCTCAGCTTTGTCCAAAATATAAAAACGACATATTCCAGTGTTACGTGCTATAGACTATTTCTTGGCCCCGTTTTACCTTTGGACAGAGCCAGGCTAGCTGCTTCAATGAATAAGTATATTTCCCAAAATAACAAATATGTGTGTCCAGAGTAATATATTTCGTCTTTTCATCAGATCAAAATGTTTTTTTAATACTTTGGTTTATCACCAAATACCTTCAAAACTAATGACATATCCACCAGTCTCAGCTGTTAGTGCTAATTATCAAAATCTTAGCATGCTAAACTAAACATTATTTGGTAAACTTAAGCAAGCTAAAGCAGTGATAATAAATATTTGTACATTATCAATAGTTGACTTCTTGTTTGTACTCTTACTGATCTTATAGCATTGTTTCCGGCCGCAGCAAGCAGCCGTTGTCCTCAAAAACTTTATAAAAACCCACATTATGCTAGCTCTAACATCAGAACGAGAGAGTTAGTAGTCAGCTGTGGACATACAGTCGGGGAGCACGTAGCAGCTAAAGATACAGATCTGTCCCTCAGGGGGGCTAAAAAGAAAATATTGGACTTAAATTCAACACAGCTCCAAATGAATGCTAATGCTGCTAAGTAATCGCTTGATGTGTAAATAAGCAACTGTTTGTGTTGTGTTCACAGTTTGTTTCTGCTGCCCCCAAGAGGCCAGAACAAAACATTGCTTAACACTGCTATTCTTAGCATGTTAGCATCACAACCGCTTCCATTTTACCATGGACTGCGTGTAGCTTTGTGGTCCGGATAATCGCAGTATATCTGTCTACCCTGACAGCGAGAGGCCTTACTGCCTGCTCTAACCCCATTCCTCATTCAGTATGTTCACAGAAAGCACTCTTTTATTCCTTTATATGCAAAATGGGCAGAAAGAAAAAAAGATTATATTGTTGTGATACATTATGAGCATTTTGAAAATAGTGTATCTATAGGCTACATAGGAAGTGTTTTCAACACTTCTTTCATTAAAAGAAACATTTCAAAATCACAATACATGTAGGTGCAATATATGAATACCTCTCCGACACATACCTCCTGTTTTCATTACCTCACACACACACATATTACACACACACCCATTCAGTTGATGTATTACCTCAGTTGTTTTGTTGCTCATCTCTTCTACCGGGCTGCACCACTCTTCCTGTCTCCTTATGTGTGTGTGTGTCTTCTCATTGGAGCCCCGTTGTGTTATTCGCATCGTAGCCCCGCCTCCTCACCTCCCCGCTGTCTTGTGATAGGTTCAGTGCTGGCAGACGGTGGTGGTGGTAGGAAGAGATTTTGTCACTTACCTCTGCAGGCCTCCCCTGTCACCTGTACCTGTTTCAAGTCCAGCCTGAAACCCACAGATTCTACCTCACCTCTCGTCTGAGTGCAGCTGCCCCTCTGTCTGCAACACACTGACATGCATGCACATACATACTCAAACGTACACAGAGTGCACAAATGAGTCGCCAGCATGGACCCGTTGAGTGTGCTGCTGCACTCACAGCAGGTCTTTTAAACGGGCCATGGATTAACATTTTACAGCTGACATGGCAGACTTTCTAATTTTCGCCCCTTTTTTCATTTTCATCACACACCACGTGGGACCAACAGTCACTTTGGATTCTCTTTTTATTTGGAAACCTGAAGTGACAGCGAGGGCAGGGGTGAGTTTATTGCAGTGTGCCGATTGAACTTAAAGGAAACTGTCAGAGGACAACGACAGCTGGAAGCTGGGACTCCAGTGGAAGCCATTTTGGCCCGATTGGGCCAGGCCAACGGACTGCTGTGGGTGGTGACTGGGAGGTAAATGAGCAGCAAGTGAGTCAGCAATATTCACCTGTGGATATGGTTTCATCCTGGCCGGGGAGGGAAATTGAGTGACTGTGGTGGGTAGCGATGTGATAGCAGACCGCCACACAAAAATAGGCCCTTGTTCTCGCACCTACACTACACCTGCAGATCCTTCCCTCGCCATCGCAGGAGAAATGGACACTAAGCCATTTGAAAGACTTTCTGAGCGACTGTCCTATCCCAGAAACTCACAATACGAGTTACACACTGCTGAAATAAGCTCCACCAACCATATCCCAAATTGCCATCCACTACAAATGACTATCAGGTTTTTTTCTGTTGCACTAGAACCACAATGTCTGTATCCCTTAGTAGCCCCGAACCCTTTCCCTTTAACCCACCCCCGACCCACCCACCCACATCTTTCCCTTTCCTGCCTGTCTTAAGCAGTCTTAACAATATTCTCTAAAATATGTCACACACTTGTTGAAACGCACACAGTCCGTTATCTAGTCTCTTGATTACCTGTTGGACCCAACGAGGACTGTGACATGGCCTTCAGGCGCCGCCACTCTCAGTGTTACTAATCTATGTTGCAGGGTATTAAAATAGAACCGTAAGCGCTAATTATACAGGGATATACACGCACAGCAGCAGCAGCAACACACACACAGCAATAGGATGATCAAGCAGTACCGTTTCACACCCGCCACCTCCGGGCCTTGAGTGTTTGGACTGTACTTTGCTCACTATCACTGTGAATGAAAGCCATGCTGCAACCGGGCCATGGCTCAGACAGGGAACCTGCTGGCTCAGTAAGACATGCTAATGTGCCTCACAGAGGCCGGAAATACACATATACATTATACAGTATACAGAAGCATATATTTATAGATATATAGATGTGTATATATAAATGTTAGAGTTATTGTATGTGGCATTCGATCTCTCAGTGGCTGAATTTATGCTGCCAGCTCAAATCAGATCATGAATCTGTCCGAGCTGTCATGTAGCAGAGGGTGTCAGAATAAGTTTACCCAGCTGTATTAATATCTGTAAAGTAAAGTAATATATATGCATTGTTTGCAGTTGACGTCATATTGCATTATGATGCTTGTTTGCCTTGTGTTGATCACCAATTAACCTACATAGTTTGCATACCTCTACACTACATCACTTCATATACCACAGAAAGTACCTTAAGCATAAATGCATCTGCTTTCTCCCTATTTTAAACATGAGATCAGGTCTGGTCCATATAGCTCGATAATTTTAGGTTTAGATTTGAACTGGCAGCACAGCCGCTCTCTCTCTCTCTCTCTCTCTCTCTCTCTCTCTCTCTCTTCTCTCTCTCTTTCTTCCAGCCAAATGATCACTGGAGAAATCCTCCCCCCCTCCCCCCCTGCCCGTCCTCTTAAAAACCACACCAGCACCACAGAGCACACTGCCTTCAGCCATGATCAGTTGCACCAGCATAGCAGAGAGACAGGCCAACAGTCACTGACCATCCTCCTCACCAAAAAGCCATTCTACCTGGACTTCACTGCTAGCTACGATCATGTTCACACAGCGGGCAAATCCAGTTCAAATCTGTGTCATTTTTAATCGACCAGACTGAATCTGGGTCCAGGCAATATATTAATTTGCTGTCTATATGACCATGGTCGTCATAGTGATCAGGCAACCAGGCACACAGTGTCGAGGAACACGTTTTCCGCATGACCAACCACTCAAGATGCTGCAACAAACCCGATGACACGCAGTGCTTATTCTAACTTTTATGGCTTCATGACCTCCTCGCCGTGTAGTCATGAGAGGAGGCATTGAGCCTGAGAAAGTTTCCTTTTTCTTTTCCTTCAAGATGTATCTTAATGCAAAATAGAAAAATGGATTTGATCCGCGTGTTTGAACATGACCAGGGTGGTGGTACATGAGGCAGTTTTTGCAGGCGAAGCCCAATGGAAAATGCCTCCCATTATAAAGAGCCACACGGTCAAACACGTGCGTCCTTGTTTCAGTAGAGCACTAAAAGCAGCAATGCTAAGGCCCATGAGAGTTGCCTCTCTCTCTCTCTGTACACCCTGTGTTACTTTCTGCACTTCCTACCCGAGCTGCAAAATCAGTTTTCCGCACAGTGACCACAGAATTGTGTTTTCTTCCTCTCTGTGTCCCTTAGGGTGAAGTTAGGGTTAAGTTTTATGTTTGTTTACAATAAACTAAAATGTGAAGCTCTGTCGCTGCAGCATGGCACAAAACTATAACAACCACTCTAAAGCAGGTGAACCTTCCACAAATAAACTACTTTTATTACTTACCCAGGGAAAACATTTACGTCAATAACACCTTTTCTCTTTTCCTAACATCTATCTTTTCCCGTCCTTCCATCTCTTTTCCCCCACGTTCCCATTCTAGTTCCTGTTTTATCAATCTTTTCCCAAATCTACATCCTCACCCCTGTCCCATTTCTCTATTTAACTCCTTCACTCCTCTTTCCTTCACCCCAACACACATCCCCCACGCGCGCGCACACACACACACACACACAGAGACTTGCAGAAAGCTACCCCGACTCATACAAACACTTGGTCGAGAAAGACGACAATCCCCGCAGGAATATGTCCACATGTGGAATGTAAAATACTGAAATTGTACGATTAAAGACACGGTGTGAAGTCCCACAATCATGTTGTTTTGATGTTGTTGATGTTGCTTTTGTTGTGCACCAAGTGTTCGTTGTTATGCTTATTCTGGAGCGGATGAGTTTGCAGGTGGGCTTAAAACCTTGATCGCGTGACAGACTGCTACTGATCCTTTTTTAAAAAATATTGTATGTTTCTAAAAGTGGTGTAAGGACTGGAAACCTTGAGCGATGTAAAGAAAGAGATGAAGTGACTTTATTTTGGATAGAGATAAAAAAGCTCTTTTTTTAATGATTATTCTTCTAAGTCGCTATTACTTTGCATCCGATTTTCTTGGTAAGTGAATGTCTGTCTATCTGTGTTGATGCTTTACTGTGAAAAATGGCTGTATATGCAGTGGTAGCTAGTGCTAACGTCACCCGAGGGTCATGGTTCAAATCACCTTCAGTTTAGCTGGTTGAAAAAAAAGTCTTTAAAGCTCTTTTAAACAGCCTGCTATTCAGTGTCTAAGAGATGTAATCCTATTTAGCATTATAACCTTTTAGTTGCCTTATTCTGGTTTTAAAATCAGCAATTAAATGTGTTACAATGTAGGCCCATCGGTCACGTACCATTATCTAATTTGGAGAGTTTTGGCACCAGACCTAGCTCTGCGGTGTGTATGCTAGCACTTTAATATACACTATGTAACTGTAGGTGACATGCCTTACTCTCAGAATAACCTTTTAGTACACCAAAAACACAAATTTGGCACAGGTTTGGATTCATACTTTTCAGAAATTATTTAAAACACATTCTCAGGTTTTAATACCTGCAATCGGGGTTTCCCAGCTTTTTTGTCAGGTAGCACCACCACTGCCAGGGATAGGCTGAGACAGTGGAGACGTACCCGGGTACATTCTTCCTTATGAGCCTTTAACTCCTTTTAATGTTTCTTTAAGACACAGGAGTTTTTCTAAATGCAGCTTCTGTCAGCCATTAGAGGAGCCACAGCTAACAGCTAACTAGTGGGATAGATTGACAACTTATGTATATGTAAATAACATAACCAGAACAAATTACACTGACTATCACGTGGAGTTTAATGTCACTTCAGGCTCAAGGTTTTAGGAATATAATGAGCTGCAAATGAAGATCATATCTTCTCCCAAATTTGAGTAAGTAGCATTTCTATAACCATTGTTTTGTTTTGCAGTTTGTTGCCTCCACAGGACTACAGTGTCCCATGTTCACATTCTTAGGCTAATGCCAGTCACCTATATGACAAAACAACATATTGTCTCCTAAACCCTTAGCATGCACATTGCTTAGCTCTAACAGCTGTCTGATGACTAGCCCCACTCTCACATTGGGTAAGGTGGATCAATGGGCCAAAGCCTCACAAAAGGAAATGTATTTACTTCAAAGAAACTCCAGCTAACGTCACAGAACAACACATTTGAAGCACAGATTGACTTGTACTACATGGTTTTTTAGAGGCTGTACGAACATTATTGGTGTGCAGAAGGTCACCTCACACAGCAACAGTACATTAAGTGCATTGCCACTAAATACAATTAACACCTATGTTTTCCTGAGGGACTGCAATGTAATTGGAGTGGGTGGAGGGGCGTGAACCTTATGTTTCACTATTTTAGAGTAAGAACGTCCACAGTAACATTGATACTTTATCTGGACACTCCCCTCAGAATGAAACAGCACTACTCTCCCCACAATATCTCCAAATAATGACAAAGTATAGGTACAACTTAACTTATGATTAATAACTAAGCATATCAAACAAACCTTATTACCCTCAAGATACAAATCTGGGAAGATGAAACATTGAAAGAACCCTTCCTTGCTCATCCAAAAAAAGTAAGACTACTCTCCGTTCAGCAATAAGAAAAATTACATAACCCTCGCCATCCCTAGTCATTTTCATACAGTCCCTTAAGGCTCATTATGGATGCATACAGTATTGTTTTCTGCTTCCAGTACGATTAATAGGTGCTATAGGTTACTATTTTGGTGAAGATGATTCATAAGTTCAAACTGCAGTTACGCCAAATCCATTATCCAATTAGTTTAGCTGAAAGTGAATGAACCTGAATCCTGCCTTCCACAGTTGCTTGGGCTGCATCACTTGCTAAGCTGGGTCAACAGAACAACACCCACGTCCTGATCTTAGCCTTTAGATTGCTCAAAGTGTATCTGACCTTAGACCAGAGCTCGTCTTGCAATGTATAAATCTGCCGTGTATTAATCTCAATGTTGTGATGAGAATATAGATGGGAAAAAAGCCTCACCATACAAAAAGGAAAGAGTAAAGAAACAAAAAATCACAAAATAGATACCAAAAAAAGAGATTCGTACAACTTTTCATACCTCATTGTACTGCTTTGTGCCAGAGTGACGGAGGGGGAGTGATCAGTCTGAAGCGTCCCTAAAAATAAAGACAGACTGAAAAAAAACTCAAAATGTGTTATAGAGGGTGGATGAATTTGGTAAAACTGCTTACAGAATCTTCTCTGGTTGTAAGATACATCATTGTGACAATGTAGGAAAAAAATGTTTGAAAATACATGCACTTACTTTGTTATGTCCATAAGGAGCTGACAGCAAGAAATATGAAGCCATGCTGTGAGTATTTATCATCAGCTGGCAGATATTTATTCCTTCTGTTCGTGTTCTGCCCTGATAAACCAAGAGAGGACTCATGTTTCATCAGGACAAGAGTCGGAGTGCATTGAGTAGTTTGGCCAAATGAAATACTTAAATGCAAATTAAGTTTTTTAAAATAGTCGGCAGGGGCAAAGAAATAAAAAATGGTGCTCCTGCCGCCCCCCAAAAATTATTTTAAGAGTAATGTATCCTCTTCAAGCTTTCAAATCTCCTTAAGTGCAAATATGCAATTACACTTCTTTGTGTCCAGTGTACTTTAAAGCTGCAGAAGGTAGTTTGGCATGTTTGCTGAAACTTTCATTATATCCTAACAGTAGTACATGAGACAGATAATCTGTGAAAAAAATCTGGTTCCTCTGGGCCTGAATGAAAACAACCAATCAGAGCCGAGAAAGATAGAAAAACTCTTTGGGTTGGAGCCTTGAAGAGAGTTGATTGTTGAGTCTCACTCCTAGCATTGATATTTGACGACCTGGGAAAGAGGCTCAACAATCAACTGTCTTTCTCGGGTCTCATTGATTGCTTAATTCAGACCCAGAGGAACCAGATCTCATGTACTACTGTCAGGATATAGTGAAAGTTTCAGAAAAATAACATTTTTTTTAATAAAGGTTTCCTACTGCAGCTTTAACACGGGCCAGTAAATTGTGCCTTGAACACCAAAGGTTTAGGACCCCAAGTCCCAGACTGCTATCCCTGTGATGACAATGTCCTCTCTTGTTTTTGTTGGTTGCTCCCTGCAGCTCCCCTTCACAGTGACTTTACGGCTGTAGCCCACAACCCGGCCCTAATTAGCGTATCTGAGAGACATCATGTGAGGCCCTGCACACGCAGTAGGCTATTTCCTGTTTGCAAGGCAGCCATAATTTTTTCTGGCACAGCACAGTGTTGAATGTAAAGCTGAATGAGGCGCGGGGGTCAAAGTGCCCCAGATGAGAGTTTGATGGTGTATTTTATAATGTTGGATGTGGGTTTGTAATGGGCACGGTTGTTCTTTGTCTTGTTTTCTGTGACAAATCATTCATGGCACAATCAGAGAATGGCATCTCAGTGGCTCAAAGCTGTTTGTGTTTGTGGCTATTTGACATTCATTTACAACATTAAAAATGATTTGATATCAGTTTGCCTACTTTGTCTTTGTCAAGCTGTGTGAGAATCTGACATTTAAGGTTTTATTTCTACTTAGTAGACACTACATCTGACAGATGGACGTACACACATCCAAGCTAATAAGAAGAATTTAAAAGATAAATACATTATATATTTTGGGATTAGGCTTTAGTTTTTCACCCAAATTAACTTGGACATTGTTATAAGTTCAGTCTTATGTCACTCAGCTCCACCAGCTTTCATTATTGATTCCATCAATGGGGCTCCAAATTCTATGTTTGGATGACATCATAGCTGCAGAAGCATCATACGCATCCCATTCAGGTTTCATTGGTCACAAAAATATCTGCACATGGCTCAGAGCAGGAAAATAGTTCCATATTGCTTATTTTTCTTTAATACAAGTATATCTTAAATTAAAGTATGTCATGTCACATTCACTCTAACTAATCACTGATTGATTCTTTGTATTAATGCTGCACGTCTTTTTTTTTTTTTTTTTGTCATATTTGCTGAAACTTTCCCTATATCTTGACAGTAGAACATAAGACAGGTAATGTGTGAAAAAATCTGGCTCCAATAAAACAACCAACGAGAGCCAAGAAAGATATTAAGATGCTTTGGGTTGGAGGCTTGAAGACAGTTGATGGTTTTTTTGGGGGGTTTTATGTATTTTATTTATTTTTTTCCTTTATTAGATATGACAGCTAGAGATAAACAGGAAAGAAGGGATGACACACCAAGGGTCCACTGATAGGATTCAAACCCGTGGCTGCTGCAGCGAGGACTCAGCCCTTGTACATGGAGCGCCAGCTTTACCAGGTGAACTATCTGGGTGCCCCAAGATAGTTGATTGTTGAGTCTCATTCCCAGCATTTATAGAAGCTGGGAATGAGACTCAACAATCAACTATCTTCAAGACTCCAACCAAGTGTCTTTATATCTTTCTCAGCTCTGATTGGTTGTTTTTGTCCAGGCTCAGTAGATTCTTCCAAATACCATTAGGAGCACTAGGAGGAGTCAGAAGAACCGGATTTTTTCACAGATTATCTGTCTCATGTTCTACTGTCAGGATATAGGGAAAGTGAAATATGACAAAAAGTAATTTTTATAAAAGTTACCTACTGCAGCTTTAATAAATTAAAATTATTTCTGAGAATAATTTTCCCCCAAACAAGGTAGGTCACATGTAGCCATTTTAAACAAATTGAGATTAAATTGAAAGTGTTGTAACACTGAGTTCAAATTTGAGTATGTTGATGAGATTGCTGGTGTTAAATTTTGTGTGGAATGATCTTTGCATTTCCATTATGGTTCATTCTGTTAAGTAATTGCTACACCCAGAAGCTCTTTGGCCTATGCTCTAACGCTTCTTGTTTCAGGCTTTCCACAAGATTCCTGAACCCAGCTGCAGGGATTTGCTCCCAGGCAGAGCACTATAGTGAGGTCCAACACTGATGTTGGGTGGAAAGGCCTGACCTACAGTTTTAGTCGGTTAGCTCAGACCATGAAAAACAACCCCATACCAAAAGTGTGAAGATACCCTGTTCACATAATATTTGGCAATACAGAGTGTTTTTAAAGTACATGCAAAAACTTACAACTACATTTTGGGATAATGTAAGTAAAGAGCTTTAAATATATACTACAGGTGTAGTGTTTATAGACATTTAATGTGAAAATGTTACATATTATAGCTTTAAAGTACAGCTGAGGCTAATAGTGTCTGAAATGAGCCAGTACTCTCAGTATTAGAGAGTGAAGTACTGATTTCTAATTTCTGTCCACATGAGTACCCCTACTTCTTACTGCGTACCATCACCTTCTGGTTAATCTAGCACCCCATAACACCCATGTAAGATAGTTTTTGTTTCCCATTCCGGGAAGATGCACACTCCTCTGCCTCTGACTGGCTAGTGTTCATTGCATTCATTGGTTTGGTTGGTTAGGTTCAGAGCTATATAGATATGGTCAAGGTTAGAAAAATATGTTGGGGGCAGAGCCGATCAGAGGCAGAGTAGGAGCAGAATAGGGGTGGTAATTATCACCCCCATAGCTAGCTTAACACTGAGAAAACAGCTCTGAAAATTAGTAACAAGGGTTGTGTGAATTACTGGCACCTCTTTTGGTCCATTTCTATCAGAAAATAGAAAAAATAAGCTTCAGGTTGCTTTTATGTGCCAGTCCTCTGTCTGTCTGCAAAACATTCTCATTCTCACCATTTCAGATAATTGTCAGCTGACACAAGTTATCCAACAGTGCTGTATAGTACAAACTCCAAGCCTGTAGTGAATTACAAATCCGTTATTAAACAGGTCAGATACATATCAAACTGATTTGATCAAATGGATTACATAAGGCCACATGATGCTTCATTTTACACTGAAGGCATTTACATTTTATGCTCTCACTCTTCTAACTCTTCAAACATAGTGACTCCAAATTCCATAAACAGTCTGTGTGTTTTCTTCATCTTCGTGGAATTAAAACCATTATTGAATGAAGCGCTCTCTGTAATGATACTGTGTATACGCAGTGGGTTATCTGTGCTGCACTTAAGCTAAATTTGGAAACAGACTACTAAATTATTACGAACTCTGAGGCTCATGAAAGCCAGTCGATGTCAAACATTTTTTAGGTTGTTGTGGAGGAGATGATGCAACAATGAGCAGCTTTGCTTTCCACCAATCAAAAGTCCTTCACAGCCCCCACCCCCCCCTCTCCCTCCCAAACAACACAGAAGGGCACAGCTGGTACGGAGCAGGCATGCCGCAGACTGGCATGGATATTGTGTGTGTGTGTGTGTGTGTGTGTGTGTGTGTGTGTGTGTGTGTGTGTGTGTGTGTTGTGTGTGTGTGTGTGTGAGAGAGAGAGAGAGAGAGACAGAGACAGAGAGAGAGAGAGAGAACCCCTCTTACACAGACACAGATTGACAAGCCGGGACATCCATTACAGATTTTTCCCCTCAACTAAAGGAAAAGTGCTCCAAGCAAGGCTCTAAAAATAGATCGGTGTATTTTGATGATGATGCTCATATTCACTGACATGGCTTATTATTCTAGCAAATTCTAAGGAAAGGACACGCTTGCGTCTGATTCACAAGCACATGCTGCTGAATGCTGAAGTACATCTGATTTGATTACATAATAGGTTTTATCATCAATGGATATATCACTGGAGATCAATATTTTCTGAGGTCAGATGGATGTTGGAAGAAAACCCATCATCTACTGAAAATGCTAAATAATTATGTTTTTTGTTGTGGTTGCTTTAACCACTCAACCTCCAGTTTCCTCATTTGTTTCCCTTTAAAGCAACACTGCAGCATTCTGTTGTAAGTAAACTGGACTGATTGACTGAAGTTAATCAATCAATGACTATGATATTTTTTCAACACAAGCTTATTTATTTTATATTTTATCTGTACTTTACTGTGACTGACTGACTTTCATTTTGTATTAGGGTGGCCAGATGAAATTCGGGACTGGAGAGTTGGGGGTGGACGTGGTCTCGTGGCCATATATTCTGAGTGAGGATCAATGAAGCACAGTGTCCTCGTAGTGTTTACAGGATTCATGAACCATTACACACAGGTGACAGGTATATAATATTTTCACTGATTCAAGGAGTAAAAAGATTATCGATCTACTATAATTGATGTAGACTGATAATTTAATAAAAGGGCTGTCTCACTTGAGAATTTTAGTGTTTTATTCTGGTCCTCAAGTTTGGCATTATGGTTGTCGCCATGACAGTTTGTTGGAGCCAGTGGAAGTGACGTACTGCGAGTTGAGCTTCACTCATTGGCTGCGCAGTTTTAAAATTGTCCATAGCAGGAAACAATGGCAGCTCAATTGGTCACACAATCTCAAATTCCAGATAAACAGTACACTAAAGCATACCCTGCTTTATGGTCTATTTTACTTTAAATGGGACCATCATTTACTAAATGAACATCATAATGTATGGAAGAAGGCTGAAACTAGAGATTGAGACCATAAACTCATTAGGAAACTGTTTACTGAACTAATTTCTCCATAAGACTCAATACTATCACTCTTTTCTTTTCCTTTTTTTTCAGCCAATGGAGCTGCCACCTGCTGGCCATTATACATAGAATGTATAACATTGGTTTCACCTCACAGACCTGGAAGCTCTGTCCACAATATATAATGTCAATTGTTCCCCCCCCTGCATACAGTACGTTAGTGCCCCACTTGGGCCACCCCAGTAAAAGAAGTGAGGCTACAGCATTGCAGCCAGCAGCTGGATAACTTAGTACAAAGACTGGGAAGCAGGGGAAACACTGAGTGAAATATTCAGCCCCATTCTTTTGTATGGCTGCATGATTGCATCAAATGGAAATATTTTTTTATGCACATTTTTCCAAAAATTCAACCCGGCATATTTGGTATTGTTAGAAAGTCAGGATGCCCACTTAAAATAAATTTGTGTCGATTCGAAAAATGTTTGGCTGCACATAATGACTCTGTAATGACCAACCCGCCGGCGGGGTCAGTTAAGGTTAGGGGGGGAAGATTGATGTACCAGTTAGAAATAAATTGTTTTAAATAGTGAGGATTGGCATGGTGTGTTCATACTTCACTACACACTTCCACCTGACTCCTCCAAAACAGTCTCACACACACATGCACTGGAAAACACATGGCTGCCCCTCCCCCATGGATTCATTCATGTAGACTGCTGTTATGTAAGAGAGTTACCCTCCTCTCCTAAAAGACATGTCCTGGCCTCAACTCCATGTGTCAGACCAGGACAGAGATGAAGAGAGGAGGAGGGGCAGACAGACGGAGAGAGAGAGGGGGGTGGGTGGGAGAGAGACAGGGAGAGAGAGAAAGAGAGAGTTGAAACAACAGATGAGAGGGCAAAAGAGACACAAAAAGTAGCGGAGAAAACTTCAGGGAGGGGGGGAGGCTCAACCTCCAAAGCCTGTGGAGTGCACACACACACACACACACACACACACACACACACACACACACACACACACACTTTTAATAGGACAGGAGGAGGTGCCTATTAAAAGGCCATTGGCAGGATGATGGGGATTTAGAAGGAAGCAGAGGGGGTGGAAGAGTACTAGTGAGTGATGTTTGTTTTGTTTTGATGCTGAACTGTCTACATGTTGAGGATGTTGACAGTTTTTAAAGAGATTAATTTGCACATTTCAACAAAATGTGCTTCTATAAATCAGAGACAGTGGTTATATGGCTTTAGCATACATGGCAACTCCAAAGACTGCAGTCTTAAAGTGAAATGTTCTTGGTAAAATCATTTACATCCACTGTGATAACAGCGGATGTAACAGAATACAGCATAACAGAAAGGTGGATAAGATGAATGTTACAGATGTGATGAACTGCTGCTGTAGTTCTGCTCAACTGAATTTACACTATATAATCATATATATAATATAATCATAGTTTCACTCATATTTTCGTTGAACTCATTTTAAAATCATGTTATATTTAAAATAGTTTATTTAGATTATCATTGCAATTTTTTATTCTTAAATTGGATTCCTGTTAGCTTCCTGGGGGTCCACACTAAAACTAAAATTTTAAATCACACAGTATCAATAAAACAGGGAGAGAGAAAGAAAGATAAATATAAAAAACTGAGTGAAACAATTCTACATATGAAACAATAGACAATAGTAGCCTACAATGGAAACAATAATTTAGTTGATTTTTCTTTTTGATGTGTTGACAAATTATTAAAGTGTTATTTAATTAAAATTAAAGCCCCTGTAAACATGGCTTTGAATCTGAAGTATTTCTTTAAGAAAATAATATAATGGCTAAATAATATATTTTTACTGTCAAGAACTCAGCTAATCTACTTTAACAGGACCGTGGGCGTGTGGGTTGATTTGATTGGCAGTAGCCTGGCAACAGGAGCAGACAGTCTCATGACATTCTGATTCAGATGTAGTTAAATCCTGATTGGTGACATCATGTTTCTCTGACCCAGCCCCGCCCACGTTAAACCAACAAGAAAAAAAGAGACAAGGCCAGAGAGATATCTCTTGTGTGAAATCATCAAAACTGTTCAATTACAAAGCTTTACAATTTTAAAACTGCAGTAGGCAACTTTTATAAAAATAACTTTTTGTCATGTTTCCTAATTTTTTCACTATATCCTGAGAGTAGAACATGAGACAGATAATCTGTGAAAAAATCAGGTTCCTCTGGCTCCTCAAGTTACTTTAAAAAAAAAACACACACATTCTATTTTTTTAAATGTATTTTGTTTGGTGCAAAATAATGGGAAGGGGCCCGCAAATGCATTTAAACAGCTGATAAGAAGAGAGCAGGTTGTGCGGCCTTATTAAGATGATATTAAATGATGATATAAAAATCTTGTTAGTGGTGGAAATATTCTTAGAATGCTTTCTTGTAGTACTTGAACGTTAAAGTGCCCCCTTGATAGACGACAATACCAGCAGTGGCCCTAAGCAAATTTAGTTTGAGACCCCTGTTTTAGAGCCACAGAAGTCTGTTTACTGTTTTATAAACTCCTCTTAATGTGTACAATTGGTTGGATTGCCCCTTTAAATCCTATATGTGTACATTCTTTGTTCCAATGTATATAAAAATGAAGTGTAATATAGAAACTACTAAGGTAAAGTTGAATCATTCTAAACGTTAATGTGCAGTTTGAATTGGTGACCCAGCTGATCACTGGTGCAACTAAAGTGGTCCTACTGCTCCCTCTACAGGACAAACTGATTACTAACCAGCAACAGTGGTTTCCAACCTTTTTCCCTAATGTACCCTCACAGCCCTGTCGGATGAACTAAAGTACCCCTTGGAACAACACTTACTTAAAGCAATCTACAGTATTGAATCCACTACGTTAGGTCTTTTGAGATTTTTCCTAATAGTTTCAGCTAGCAATTTTAACAATGTGTCCACTACTTTTAGCTTTCTATTTAAACATTTAAAGGACCAGTGTATAGGATTAAGTGACATCTAGTGTCTGTATTTGGCGACCCGGCCTACAGTGGCAGCAAAAAAAAAAAAGCAAAAGGCCCTATCTACGGCCAGTGGTTGGTTTGTCTGTCCTGTGCTACTGTAGAAACAATCTTTCTTTGTTTTGTTTTTTTAATGATCAAATTTAAAATGTACAAACATTGCATTACATTGTACAATATTTCCATATTTTAACACTGAGAAATGATCATTTTAACCTACCAATATTAACCAATAATAAACAAAGACACAAAAAGAGAAGAAGATAAAAAAGCCAATGGTAAATGGACCTGTACTTGTATATTGCCTTTCTAGTCTTCCGACCACTCAAAGCGCTTTTACACTACGTGCCACATTCACCCTTTCACACACATTCGCTCATCAAACAGAAACTAACATTCATACACATTCACAGCAATGTGGGGTTCAGTATCTTGCTCAAGGATACTTCGAGCCTGGAACCGAACCCACAACCTTCCGATTAAGGAACGACCCGCTCTGCCTCTGAGCCACAGCCGCCCGATCAATATGAAATATAAGATTGTAAAAAATAACACAAAACAAAAACACAGACAACATCACATTGTATGAGGGAGACATAAACTTAAATATACAGTATATAAGTTATCCTTGCTTATTCTTGTTTTGTTTTTTACAAATCCATTTTCCAATTACTCGATAGGTCTTATAGCTTCCATAGGGCCTACTTGCTCCCTCTGTAGATAGAAATGGCTAATTCTATGGTAGGAACTAAAACATTACTATAAGAAGTTATAGGTAAATAGTTGAAATACAGTTGATAATTAGCTGTCCATGTCATGTACTCACTTCACTGCTTGCTCTGTACACAAATTGGTTGAGCTGTCTTCAGTCTTTCTGAATGTACCCCTTGGTAACTGCAGAAGTACCCGCTGCGGTACAAGTACCCCTGGTTTGGAATCACTTATCTATTGAATAAAGCCAAAATGCAGTACATACGTATTTAGTCCAAACTAGAGACTAGAACCAAGGTTGGATTCTTAGACCAGAATAATTATTTTATGTCATAGAAATGTATACTGTGTATAAAATATGTTAAATGTGCAGTTACAACAAAACAAAGCTAAAAACCATTTACACGGCTAAAGCAAGAACACCAAATCCAGTTCAAGCTAGCTGGTGACAGCTAGCCTTGACTAAAGCTACACTGAACTTTCCAACCTAGCTGTTATCTGTTGTTGAATACGTTTTATTCTGATAAATATCTGAGTAATTTAATTTGATATCCCTAAGGCAGTAGATAAATCCAAGCAAGGGAAACAAAACCTGCTCAATGCTATTCAAAAGTTAACTAGCCTAGCTTTGCAGTCCACTGCCATCTCAGCTTTCGACTTTAGTTGACTTTTTAATTATTACCAAATGGTTCATTTGAAGCAGAAATAATGGATTTGGTTTGTTGATAGGCTACTGTATTTTTTACCTCATATTCTCTCAACTTTTTCTAAAGGTCTGTCATTTTTTGTTGTAAAATGATTATAATACATTAAATGAAGATATTACAGTATACCCAGTCCGCTTTTTCTCAATTTAGGCTTCTGTGCTTTTGTACTTCAGTTTCGTGTTACATCTTCAGAGTTACAGAAGTAAACTACTGTTAAGTGAAATAATATCAGACATGACAATATGACTGCAGTCAACCATCCATTTAGTTTGTCTGGAAGTTAGTATGTGCTGAATGTCACCTCAGTCATCAATATTTTGTTGTAAGACTCAAAGAATGAATGAAAAAGAAAATCAGCCATGTCATCTTCCATTTATTATATACATCTGAATGTATGAAAAGAGAGCAACAACAATCACAAGTGTCATTAGATAAAGTGCACTTCATATAAGCAGTGTCATAATCTGTGAGACTCAATGAAAGCCTACTGACATGACCAATCACATCACATCCTACTCAGTAATGCACATGATGACTCACAAGTTACAGGCTCAATAATGCACACTATGATAGATAATGCACACTCAATAATGCACACTATGACTTAATAAATACATAGATACATAGCTGCTGTGCTAACAGAGGAATATAAACAACACATGTATATTACAAAGCATGCCGCTGTACAATATAAAACTGCAGATACTCTGACAAAAACACACAAATGTACACACACTAATGTGCAAAAGGTGTTGACTGAGAGCTTATCCAATAATGTTCAAGTTACTGGCAAATGTATCTGACATTCTGGCAGTGTCTAAATTACAATCAGAGACTTTAATGGCTTGGTTTCACTCACTGGACCATTTGGCATTTAGTCATTAGGTCAAATACCTTCAGCAACCTGACAGGGCATGTGTGCAGAATAAATTGTCAAGAGCCGCTTAGTGTAAAAACGTGAGACACATCACTTCCCAAAGCTCGAAAAAGTTTAGCATTTTGGGAAATACACTTACTCGATTTCTTTCCAAGAGTTAGATGATAACTTTGATACCACTCTCATGCTTGTACCGTAAACTATAGCCATGCCAGTTAGCTTAGCTTAGCACAAAGACTTGAAACATCAAGAAACAGCAAGCATGGCTCTCTCCGAAGGTAACCAGCACTTGTTAAGGTCACTAATTCACACTTTTATTTATGTATGCACGGTACAAACAACCCCCTTTTTTGGTTAACGAACATTATAGTACATTTTGTTTTTAGATGGATTAAACAAATGAGATATAATATGTTAGTTACTAGCTTCACAAGCAGATTTGATTACTTTTAGACAGAGCCAGGCTAGCCTTTCCCCGTTTCCAGTCTTTGTGCTAAACTAAACTAACTTATCTACGGGCGTTAGCTTCGTATTTATCTCACAGACAAATGGCCCTCATCTAACTGGGGGCAAGAAAGTGACTAATATATTTCCAAAATGCCAAACTATTCCTTGTTTCCCTTGCTGTTCCGATAATATCAGAACATCTTAATTTTACTAGTAAAAATCTGGAAGTATGAAATAGTGTCAAAACATTCCTATAAAGCACCATAACAGCATGACACATTTCTGACTGAGACAAACTTTTGAGGCCGGCTTCTAGACTTGAGTGCAATATACTGTAGGTCGAAGACAGTGCAGTTTTCTAAAACAACAAATATGATTTTAATGTCATCTTTCTGTACCCTGAAAATTCAACTGATTCAACATTAAAAAATCACAGTGTCCACTTGAAATCCCCTCTGGGAGTGTCTGGGACTGAGAGAATTGGCAGTGTCTGCAAGAGTGAGACCAAGACAAAGGGCACAATGCCAAGAGAGGGAAGAGAGATGGAGGCTGGATGAGAGAAGGCGGTGACAGCATCACATCAGTTACACCATCATTTCTTCCCCACAGTGAGTGTATTTAAATGAGCATTCCCTTCATACTTTGATATTGTTCTCTGGAGTAGTGAGCAGCAGGAAAACACATCAGACTATACAGGACATGAAAATACACTTACTGATTATTGAATGTCACATGGACCTGAATCAAGATAAATATAATATTCAGAATATAGTGAATGCAGTGCACCTGGTTCTACACATTACATTGTATGATCAGTATATGGTATCACCAGTGTTAGTTGAAAATACTGTATGTAGTGTTTTGTACTATACATACACTCAGTGCTGTCAGGCTTTCATTATCCTCGATCTTCACATCCAGAACATCTCACAGCTCTGCGGCTCGTTAAAGCTGTAGAACAAGTGAAAGAAAGTGATGTGCAATTGTACATACAGTACTTTTGTTCTCTCGCACAGACAGTCTCTCTGCTTCCTCGTCTGCCTCATTTGTTCCAGAACTTTCCCTCTGCAGCCAGCCCCTGGTTTAGCCGACAGAGCTGCCGGAGGAAGCCATCGTTGGGTCCGATCTCTCTTTTCTGACGCACCATGGCCAGGGCGGTGTGGACGTCCATGTTTTGGCGAAGCATCAGGTAGGCTATGACTAAGGTAGGCGAGCGGCTGTAGCCTTCCCTGCAGTGAACGTACACTTTACCTGCAGAAGAAAAGACGTTTTATTTTATTTTCTGGGCTTTTTTGCCTTTATTATACAGACACAGCCATATAGAGGGAGGGAAGTGGGGAGAGAGAGAGGGGAATGTCATGGTTTTGGTTTGGTCTTTGACTGTTTTCCCTCCAGTTTTGATTGTCTACCTGATTATTTCCGCCTGTGGATTCAGTCATCTTGTTTTTGTCCCCGGGGTACACTTCTGATTGTTTTACCTTGTTTGTGGTTTTGTCCCTGGCTGTTCCTGGTTATTTCATCCCTGTATTGTCATCTTGGCTTGTGCCTTTCCTGGACTTATATCTGTTTACCTGCCTGTAAGTTATCTATAATAAATCATGGAAGTCATCCTGCTGCCTGTCCTGTCTTGCATTTGAGCTTCCTAAGCTACCTGTACGCCCTACAACTGTTCAGGTTTGACCAAACTCAGTGCTATCTGAAATACTACATTTGAGTTACATTTGATTTAAAGCTCATTTTTCATCCGTTTCTGGTCAAAAGTTTACAACATTCATTCTCCTTTCAGTTAACTTTCAGTTTCCACCAACTCCGGCTCTTTAGCTGGATGCTAAATGCTTCATATTTAGCTAGTCACTAACTTTGTCTTGCTTTTCACTGTTTAATTTATGTCAGCTTTAGTCAAGCAAGGTGAAAACACCTGTAGAGTGAGGGCTAATGTGGGAACAAACACTTTTATTTACAATTCCAGCAGAAACAGAGCAACATTAGCATTCAGTTGGAGTTGTGTTTCTGGCCACCTTTCAAAGTCTGTCCAAACTTCACTTTTAGCTAACTCTGGCTCTTTAACACTCCACTACCTTCAGCAGCTAGTCGCTAACTGTCTCTGTCTGCTGTTTAGTGCTGAGCAGGTAGTGTACACTGGGATTACCATGGAAAATAGCTTCTCTTGGAGCTGGAAACGAGGCTGAGCTGAGTTTAAGGGCCGGAAAATCAAAACAATGATCTACAACAGGCTCAAAAGTTCCATACAGCTGAATGGAACCGCCGACTCGAGTGATGATTATCTGTGGGTTTGTAACCATGAGTCAACCATTTCACATTACAGTCATGTGATATGTTGTTTATATACAACTACTGATTAGTGTAGTTTTAATATTGACTTTTAATTATAATTATTTAAAAATAATGCTTCTCTAGGCCAGAACATATAACATTCCCAATTCTACATATGGTATGTAGGTACAGTCTATTATGTTTTATTTGTATATATTCAAAGCAGCTGTCTCACCACCATCAGCAGTTCATTTTCTATGAGTTTTAAAAATCTGACTCCTAGTTGGTGTATTCATCATTTCAATCATTTGAAATTTTGAAAGGGTTTCTGCATCCTCCTTGAAGTCTTTAGCTTGTTTTTGTTTCCAAGAAAATACAAAAGTTCAGATAATGTCAAAGTCACAGACAAACAGGATTTCAACTTCAGTTAATCCCAGCTGCGTTATCCTCTGACCTTTTCCATTCTTGTATGCCAGTGCCTTCTCGATAAAGTCTGCTGCCTCTTCAAAGTAGACGCTGATGTCAAAGTGGTCGGTGTCGCTGGCCGGCACGCCGTGATAGATGATGCCCGTGCCGGCGTAGAACTCAGCGTTGGTGTTGACGTGCATGAAGGAGTTTCCCTCTGCGGCGTTCAGGATGTGGGTGATGCCCTGGCGCTTAAGACGCATCACGTTCATCGCCACAAACCTGCATCAAATCGGTAAGCAAAGCAGATACACACTGATTTCACACATCCTACCACTGCTGAGTGATATCAGGCAAAATACAATTTCATAGTTCATGTTTTTGTATTAATGCCTGACCCGGGGGGCGGAGCATTCGGGGGTTAGCCCAAACCTAGTGAAGTCTGTAGGCATTGGGAGATTTTTTCCCATTTACTGCAACCATATGCATATTTTTTAAGCTAGTTGAGTTAATAGAACGCCTAAAAATGTCATTTGGGAAAAACCTGATAGTTGCCCTGGATAAAATGATCCTGTAGAAGCTATTTTGTATCTAACTGTTCTCCAGCTGTCTTCATTGTTCTGAAACCAGAACACATCAAATGTTGGGGATGACTCATTGTCACTCCTGCCTCCTAAAAAGATGTAGAAATGGTCTTAGTTCACAGAATTAATGTTAAGCTGACAAATCTGCTCCATTTGAATCCCTGCCATACAAAATCTGAAAATCAGAGATCCAATGCTAAGTAAATGTAGTCTTCAATACTCTTTATGGAATAACATAGCAGTATGGGGTCGATCTACTCCTGGTCACTCTGTTCTAATTTCCTTCTCTTTTCTTCTATTCTCATTCTCTTGGCTCCTCCACTGAATGAAGAAAATATAAAACAAAAAAGTATTAAGGTTTCTGATAATAAACATAAAGCTCACGTTTTGCAGCCACTGTAGTTTCTCCTTCGTGCTTTGAAAGAGAGGGTGAAGCGAAAGAGTTACAGCCTGCAACTACACCGCCGGATGCCTCTAAATCCTCCACACTGGACCTTTTAAAATGCAAAAGATTAAATTCATTGCTTATTCTGTTACACCTTGCACCTCTGCTCTCCTTTACTCCCTGTTCTTCAACATATTTGCATCTCTTCCTCTTCACCTGCTTTCACATCTCATGCCCTACTCTGTCCTTCATCCTTTCTCTTTCACTCCTCTCTTTCTTCTCTCCTCCACACTCCTCAAATCCCAAAAGATTCTGGGCTTTTGAGAAAACATTCGGGGCCCTGAGCCTGACAGCCCTATAGCAACTGAGGTGCTTCCTGGATCTGGTGCTAAATTCTGTTGTTTGTCTATTGTGAATGGGATTGGCCCTTCATGCTGCATGTTAAAAGCTGAGCCTAATGCTTAATTAGATCACAAACCCAAAAACCAACTGTTTTACAGGAGAGCAGGACAGGATAATTTGCTTATTCATTCATCTTTGGTGAGATAAATAATCTTAATATAGCTTAACATTTAAAATCTTGATATACAGTTTTTAACTGCAGCACTGTGAGAGCTGCTGCTGCTCACTGTGAATGTCTGGGACTGCTGTACCACTTGGCACCTCCTGCCTTTTAGATGTAGAGAGCTAAAAATAGATCCGATGCACACTGCTGAATACTGAACGTCACGCCTCCACAAAAAAAAAAAAAGTCTGCCAGGCTCCCAGACTACACAGGGGAACTAGGACAGCTACATCAAAACAAAAAAACACCCACTCAGAGAGAACGATGCATGGGTGCATGTTTTCTTTGTGAGGCTTCACAGAGGCTGTGTCGATGCATTTATGTGCCCAGCCTAGATTTGCTCCAATAGAACAGACACCAAGGTTTCTGCTCTGTTCATTAGGAGTCCTTTAGGACGGCAGGCAGAATAAAGGAGGCACTAGAGAGGTTTTCTGTCCTGAAATACACTGCTATGACTCACTGTGCTGGAACGAAAAAGCCTCTCAGAGTTTTTATGTTAAGAGACCATTAATATTACAACATTACTTTTATTAAGTTGTGTTTTTCAGTCTTGCCTTTAAATGTGTTTTTGTAAAGAACTAAGATGGAACCTCTACCAATTTTCCTCCATATCCCTTTTTTGTGATAGTATGGCCATAAAATAGGTCCAATAATAATCGTCATAAAAAGTCTTAAATTTAACATGTTAAAACTTGCAGAAACCCTGTATATTTTTTAATATGTTTCTATCTCTAATGTATGTCTTATTCTCCAGTTACACAGATATAATGTCTCATACTGTTTCGTAATGTGTGGCACCACTTTTTGTTATATTTTGAGTTGCAGTGCCAGGCCTGCTGGGGTACATTATCTGTCAGTAATAAGTGCATTTTCTGAACTATTATTTTAACATGTGATGAGTAGTAAACAGTGCACTTCCAAATACATTAAGTTAACAAGCACACTGAGTTTCGTACTGTATAATAATAATAATAATAATAATCATAATAATAAAGTATTTAGAGAGACTTGAGAATTTCAATTGTATGCTATTTTACACTTCCACTCCACTACATTTTGGAGGCAAATGTATCAAATTGTACTTTTTCCTCAATTACATTTATTTAATAACAAATTATAATAATATCAAATTAATATTATTAACACACATCAATCTATTATTACAGATTAATTTCCCCCAACAGTATAATGTAATCAAAATCAGCTCCACCTTTACCAGCTGTTCAGCTATATAGCAATCATTAAGGGGTTAGTATGTTAAAAAATAGTAGTGATTTTGTTTTGTTTTTCAATAAAAATGCAGTCTATCCCTGCTAGTAAGGGCTAAAGATCTTTGATAATACACTTATCATAATGCAACTTCTTATTGTCTGCCTCCAAAATGGCAAATGGTTTCAAACTCCAGTTGCATGCTTTGTGTTGTGCTTCGATGTCTATATATTGAGATAAGTTGACAAAAACACATGCTGAATTTCATCACTAAGACAAACTCCAGTTAATATGCGGTTTAGTTTAAATGTATATGTTAAAGAAAGAACAATTCATACAAAGCAACCTCTTGTGTTACAGTAAATGGATTCATTAGAGGCCTGAGTGGGTGTGAGTGTGTGTGCCACTCACCGAATGTTAGCAGAGAGGTCAGTAATGTTAATTGCAGAGACTGAAATGTAGAGCACTCCTGATATTTCCATTCAACAGGGGACCCACAGGTTCGGCACACCAGCTATTATCAAATCCCTGCCAGCTCTGCCTGCTTCTGTCTCTGCTACATTTCGCCTTTTTGTTACATCCCTAAACCTCTTCAAAAAAGAAGCAAGCTTCTTCTGTCTGATATAACTCCACAGCTGTGGATGCCTGCATGCCTCTGTGCACTGAGCAGTCTCTCTCTTTTTTTTAATGTACATATAACCTGAATTAAACACACTCCCTATAACAAATACAGAGGCTAATAATAGCACAGCAGTTCCTAATGACCTACCTGTGAGCCAAGGCATTCATTTTCTAGAAAACTTCCAGATTGTTCTAGAGCACATGCAGGATCATATGATTGTAAACAGACACAATGCATTTAAATAGCCCTTTAAATTGATTTTAAAGGTGATCCTTTAGTGCAAGTCCATCTGTTTTTTCTGTATTTTGTGATCTAATATAATAATAAGCGTCTTCTGACACTGCAGCTGCAGCTGGAATACCAATGCATTACCGCATTAACACACTGCAACAGGATAATCAGAGGCGATTCAACTGGAATTGATTGTTTTAATTGCAGTCAAGCAGTATTAGGGATTAATGCTGAACTGGAGGGCGACATGTTCTGTAATGTGTGACACCTCTCCGCAATAAACACTGATATTAGTTATCCAAATGATCCCAACAATGACTCACGCGTTGCCGACGAAGATCCTCGGGTAGACCTCATGGAAGTGTTTGGTCGGCCAGCTGTAGAAGCCGCTGTCGTCCGTCAGCAGGTCGTTGAGCTGCTGGAGACTCACCTCGAAGCTCGACATGTCCAATCGGTTCGGAGCCGCCGTCTTCACCTGTCGGCTGTGTTTGTTCTTCATTCCCGAGGACCGAAGTGGCGCCCTGAGCTGCAGGCACACTGGCAGGGAGGACGGAAGGAGGTGAATGTGGCGGACAGGTGTCGGTTTACCGGTCCGATGGAGTGAAGGCTCTTCCGCGCTCCGTTCGTCTCCAGTGCGCCTCAACACTGAGAGCTGCCGCCGCTATGTGCTGTGAACCCCGCATGCAGGGCCGGGCTCGCCTTTTTTGGGGACCGTCGGTCAGTGGTTCCCAGCCAAGGTGCCCCAAGACAATAAAAGAGATAAGAAAGAAAAAAAAACATTTTCATATAGGAGAGTATACAGCATCAGCCATAACACTTTGAGCACTGACTGGAGAAGTGAATAACAATTCAATTCAATTCAATTTAAATTCAATTCTATTTGTACAGCGCCAATTCATAACAGAAGTTATCTCAGGACACTTTTCAAATAGAGCAGGTCTAGACCGAACTCTTTAAAACATTATTTACAGAGACCCAACAGTACCACCATGAGCAAGCACTTGGCGATAAGGGCAAGGAAAAACTGCCTGTTAAAAGGCAGAAACCTAGGACAGACCCTTCGGCTCTAAGTGGGTGGTCGTCTGTCTCGACCAGTTTGGGAGAGAGAGAGAGAGAGAGAGAGAGAGACAGACAGACAGACAGGTGCACAGCAACAACAGTAGCAACAACTACACTAATAGTAGTGACTGATGATGATGAACATGAAGAAGATGACGACGACAACAGCAATGGTGGGGAACAATGAGCAGTGACAATAGTAATAATAGTAACTGTAGTAATAATAATATTAATAATAATAATAACAATAATATCAGTGATATTAGCAATGGCAGTCAAGCAGGACCATGGCAGGAGGCTCCACCAGGATCCATGATAACCTGCGAGACGAGAAAGCACAAGAACTCCGGGGAAGAATTAAAGTTAGAACATGCATTTATGGGACATGGATGAGTGCTGAAAGAGAGAGAGAGAGAGAGGAAGAGAGGAACTCAGTGCACCATGGGAAATCCCCCGATAGTCTAGGCCTATAGCAGCATAACTAAGGGATGGTTCAGGACTCACCTGATCCAGCCCTAACTATAAGCTTTATCAAAGAGGAATGTCTTAAGCCTACTGTGGAATGTGGTGAGGGTGTCTGCCTCCCGAACCACAACTGGAAGCTGGTTCCACAGGAGAGGAGCTTGGTAGCTGAAGGCTCTGGCTCCTGTTCTACTTTTAGAGACTATAGGAACCACAAGTAGCCCAGCATTCAGAGAACGCAGTGTTCTAGAGGGGTAATAGGGTACTATGAGCTCTTTAAGATATGAAGGGGCCTGACCATGAAGAGCTTTGTAGGTGAGGAGGAGGATTTTAAATTCTATTCTAAATTTTACAGGGAGCCAGTGCAGAGAAGCTAGTACAGGAGAGATGTGATCTCTTTTCCTAGTTCCAGTCAGTACTCGTGCTGCTGCATTTTTAATTAATTGGAGCATCTTAATGGACTTATTGGGGCAGCCTGATAATAAAGAGTTGCAGTAATCCAGCCTAGAAGTAACAAATGCATGGATTAGTTTTTCTGCATCTGTCTGTGATAGGATGTGTCTAATTTTTGTAATATTACGTAAATGAAAGAAGGCAGTCCTAGAGGTCTGCTTTATGTGGGAGTTAAATGACAAATCCTGATCAAAGATAACTCCAAGATTCCTGACAGTGGTGCTAGAGGCCAAGGTAATGCCATCTAGAGTAGCTATATCTTTAGACAGTGAGTCGCTAAGGTTTTCCGGGCCAAGTACAAGAATTTCGTTTTTTTCTGAGTTTAACATCAGAAAATTACAGCTCATACAGGATTTGATGTCCATAAGACAAGTTTGTAATTTAGATAATTGATTTTATTTCATCGGGCTTGATTGATAGATATAACTGCGTATAATCTGCATAGCAATGAAAGTTAATGGAGTGATTCCTAATAATGTTGCCTAAAGGGAGCATATATAAAGTAAATAGTAATGGTCCAATTACAGAACCTTGTGGAACTCCATGACTAACTATAGTATTTATTGAAGATTCATTGTTAACATGTACAGACTGAGAACGATCTGATAAATATGACTTAAATCAGCTTAGTGCGGTTCCTTTAATGCCAATTTGATGCTCAAGTCTCTGTAAAAGAATATGATTGCAGCACTAAGATCTAATAATACAAGTACAGAGACGAGTCCATTGTCGGCATTTCTCTCTAATAGTAATAATTTTATTATAAAAGAAGCTCATGAAGTCATTGCTATGTAAGTTTATGGGGATATGTACACATATAACACAGATTATCTAGTTCCTTTCAGTGGGGAGTGAAAGCTGGCCTATGTGGTCCTATCCAACAGACGAGCTACTGTAGCTCAAACTGCTGAAACAGTTCATGCTGGTTCTGATAGAAAGGTGTCAGAACACACAGTGCATTACACTGGTTTGTTGGTATGGGGCTGCAGAACATTGTGACCACCAGGGTGCCCAGGGGGTCACAATGTTATGGCTGATTAAAGTATTCCATATAAAGGCAAGTGTGGCCTAAAGGTTGGAGAAGTTTACAGAAAGTGTGACCTGGAGGTTGTCGGTTCAATCTTCAGACAGGCAGGATAAATCTGGCTGGGGAAAATAAAGAAGCAGTGCTTGCCCCTCTCTCATTACCACCACTGAGGTGCCTTTGAGCAAGACCCTTAACCCCAACTGGTCCAGTGGAGCTGTTCAGTGGTAGCACATCAGACTGGTAGTACTAGACAGCTTCCAGATGTGAATGTGTAACTGTGTAAATGTTATCGGGGTGTTCTTGCAAAAGAGAGGCTTCCTCTCAGTGAATTTTCCTTTACAAATGAATGAATGAAATTAAAGAGTATTTTTCAACCTGTTTTGGGGTGAATGTGACTAATTGGGACAACATGATCACTGTACATTTAACCATCACAAGTTACTTAGACGTTGACTGTCAGTTTGGAAACAGGAAACAGACAGTGGTTCCCCGGTGTTAAAGTGCAATTTTCTGCTCTATAACAACACCACACTACTTCCTTCTTTTGGTGATTTGCTGAAATGCCTGATATTGTTGTTTTTCTCAGGAAAGCTGGCTTGCTGTCTGAAACAAAAGAAAAACTGAAACAAATAATTTTACTGTGCCAGAGAAGATTTTTATTGATATACAGTTTTCAGAGAAACATTTCAATTGAAAGACATGGAATGCAAAATGCTTTCAAGAAAGTGTAAATAAATCTAAGGTGCAAATGCTGCAGTTTGTCATCAGACAAGCATAGGAAGAGAAGGTTATTCTCCACTGAAGTGTATAATGACTTGAAGAGAGGCTGGTGGAGGGATCTCATATGTGACACCCTGCCACTGAAAAGCTCATTTGGCAGCTTGGCTTTGAGGGAATAAAGCTTTCAGTAAAAGGGAAAGACAAGGAGGCGTCAATATGGCCAGTTCATGAGGCCAGACCAGCTGGAAACATCTGGGAAAGTGTATGAGCTATACTTTGTTCTCCAATGACCCATTAAAAAGGCTGACAACAGCCTTAAGGTTTACTGTGCTGCTCCCCTACCTACCTGAACTATCTTAACCTGTTTTAACATTTGACTTTTAAGTCAACAAGGAAGCTGTTTAAAGAAAAACGTTTGCCTCTTTTGCAAATGCACAAGGAAAACCAATAGAGCCTAAACCATCCATTTAAATGTTATACATTATATCAGCATCTATGCAGTCACTTTGAGAACTGGAAGGGGGGAGTCAATGTTTTGGGCCCTTAGATGGCCAAAGGTTTTTAGGTGACTAAAACTAATTCCCTGTTTGTGCCATGCAACGCCTCTTCATCTTCACCTTCTGGAAGCTCATAATGCCAACTACTTATCAATTAGGATAGTAGCTCAGATAGCAGATAGTATGTGCTTATCTATAACTGGTAGACAATACAAGCTTTATGAAAGATCTCCCCTCAGAGTCAAGCTGTCTGCCTCCATCTTTAGCACATCTCAGGTTGCAATTTTGCTGCCCGGCAGCGGAGGACCTTCAGGAAGCTGTCAATCTTGTGGGAGTCCCGGCGGAAGCAGGACATCAAGAAGTGGAAGTTGGTTAGTCTGGAAATCCTGTCCTGGCTGATGTCATTGCCTCCTCTGTAGGGCAGTGAGGAGATGGACTGAGCTGCTGGACCAAACTGGGAGAGAAAGGAAGCAGGGAAGGTGGGAGGGAGGGCCGGGAAAGAGAAGAAAGACATTTTAAATTAATGTTTTAAATGAGTGCCAAACGAGGGGTTTGTCTTTCTGTACTCACACACCTTGCCAGATAAGATATCCAGGCCATCTCCCAGGCTTTTGGTATGCTCCAGCAGCTCCTGGACTTTGGTGGATATGCTGTTTTGGGCCGGGTGAGGTAAGGTGTTAGCAGAGGTGGAAAGGATTACAAGGGGGTCTCGCCAGGCTTGGAGCAGGGAGCGAACCAATGACAACAGGTCTGCCTCCTGGAGAAGAAGTCAGACAGATAATATAAATAATACAATAAGCTGAAGATTAATTGGAAGACAAGAGATCAAAATGATATGATATGAATACAGAAAAAAGCTGAAGTAAGGTGATGAACACAACAATTCATACATTCAGGTGATTATACATTAATAAAAACATAGCTATGAATATTATATTCTATTTCTGACAATAGATCCTCCTAAATGTTACACACTGGACCTTCAAATCAAATGTGGCTTGTGGCTCGGTTGCAAATTGCTTCAATTAGAACTTTTACAATGTTCACTTAATTATTTGGGTGAAAGCTATGATAGCTCATTAATGTTTGTACTCATAGAACCTTCACTCAAGTCTCGAGTATATCACAAGGTGATCAGTGCATCAGTGATGGCAAAACCTTTCAATTGTGGGATGAGCTTATGTTTTCAGTAAATATAATATTCAGACATCTGACTCAAACTTATTATCTACAATCTGATGAATGACAGTTAGGGGTGTAGCACAAAATTATGGACCCTGTAGGTTTCCTCAATGGGCCCCTCCCCACATCCACAGCCATTCATTCTAGTATTCAGGGATGCTGAAAGGCAGTCAGAGTTGCTGAAAGTCAGTCTACACAATGAAGTCACACTAAATGCTAAATGCATGACATTCATGATGTTTTCATTCATTTCAATGGACAGCATAATTTATAGCCTATTTAATTTAAATGTTTAAATCTTACAAACATTTTATTACTTTTTAGTGGATAAAACTCTGCAAAATTTGTATAAATGTAAACCCCAGTACAAAAAAAAAGAAGAAAGCCCCCTCAGCACCCCTACTTCCAGCGCCCATGTAACCCCCTCAGTACTTCGCCCCTGATCACTTACTGATACTTGCAGAGCTTGCTCCTTGTCAATGGGCGTATGTAGAGAGGAGGTGTGGCACATTGAAGGGCGGGGCATGATCACCCGGCCCATCGGAGGGAAATGAGAGTCCTGGAAGGGACAGAGCGTGATTTTTACATTGTGATGGAAAGTTTTAAAATTCTGCATGTTAATACACAAATTAACAGAAACTACCTGGAAGGTTGGAAATGTAAAAGAGTTAAAAAGAAACATTAATGTCCCTTGTCCTGTAGCTAAAAACAACTCATTCTAAGGTCACAAAAACACAACCATTTTTATTATACACACATGAAAACATATTCAATTTCTGCCAATGGATCATCCTAAATGTTACAAACTGGACCTTTAAGGTAAAGATGTTTAACCAATCTTTCATCCCATGTAGTATTTTATTCCCACTATGCTGAATACATGACAGAACTAGACAACGGGGTCCGAATATCCCCTACTCCATTCAGACCCTATCAGGAAGCTGAGAGCACATCAAAATATGGCTTTAACCTGAGGTTTAGCATGTATGTTAGCGAAGGCTCAGATACCTCCTGACAGTGCAAACACACACACAAACTGACCAGGTCCTGGGTGAGCGTCGTGCTGAGGGAGTGCAGTGTGTCAGAGCGCTGGGAGGCTCGGTCGAGCAGGTCAGAGATGGGGATGGCACTGCACGCTGCCACCATGTACAACACTGGGGAGCACGGAAATATGACGGATGATACACATCGTAAAGCCACATGTCACATACAGTTTTTCAATGGGCTTTTCAGATCCACATCGGCTGGTCAGGATAGGCTAGCTGTTAACTGTTGCCTAACCAGCAAATGCAACAGATTTCCAACCTGATATTAACGCAGCATGATATTCCAGTATCTTTTATACCCCTTTTCACAACATTGAATGTTTTCTGAAGGATTTAATGAATGATGATTAATGAATCAATCACTGAATTTTGTTGGATAAAAAAGCGGAAATGCAAAGTTTTTTAATGGTAAGTATCCCGCCAATACTGGATTTTTGAGGCTGATATCAGTATTTTAAAATTAAAAAAACACAGCATTGTTTAGATTCCATACAGACAGATGCAAATAATTTCACATTTTCAAATACTTTCGGAGATTGATCAAAGCTCATCTCACCCATCATGAAGAGTTTGCTTCCATTGGTTTTCCTCTGAGCCATCTCTCTTCTGTTGCTATTTGTTAGCCTTTGCTTCCTTTTGCCTCGCTGCTGTTTCTTTCTCTTTCACCATGTTGCCTCCATTTTATAGTTCCTTGACTTCAGCACTTTGGTTATGCAGTATGCTGAACTGAACTCATAATGAGAAACATGGTTAAGGAGATTTGAATGGATGCAACAGGTTGATGATTGAGTGCGTGTGTGGCACGGTTATGGAAAAAGCCCCCTCCAGGATCTTAATAAGATGGATGAATAAAACACGGATGTTTGCACAATGTTTTGTACTAACTCTGTGACACTTCTTAATTCATTACAACATCATTTGATGGTTAAATTACTGATGACTGTGTTAAGTGCATAACTCACCTGACCTTTCATTTGCTGTCACAGCATCATGGAACTTTAAAAAGATTTCCACTATGACTGAACTTGCCTCCAAATGCAATAAGTTAATTAAAAATAAATAATAAATTAGTAATAAGAGTCCACCATACTGTAGCCCAGAAGGGACTAAACCAAACACTGGCTCTAGATTGAGCTTTTTGCAGCCACTGTAGTTTCTCATTCCCAGGACGTCAAATACATACAGCAATATAATAATATAATCAACAAATAAGTCATGTACCATTATAGGTCAAAGGTCCAGTGTGTAACATTTAGGAGGTTCTATTGTCAGAAATGATTAGTGTATAATCACCTGAAAATAAGAATCATTGTGTTTTTGTTACATTAGAATGAGCTGTTTATATCTACAGAGTGAGCGGGTCCTCTTCTATGGAGTCCGCCATCCATGTTTCTACAGTTGCACAGAACGGACAAACCAAACACAAGTTTTACAGCCACTGTAATTTCTATTACATGCTTGGTTGAGATGAGGGGTTTCAGTTGGTTGCAATCTGCAACTTCACCGCTAGAAGCCACTAGATCCTACACACTGGACCTTTAAGATAAAAGACAACTGAGGGAGTATTCACAAGCTACAGTAGATAACCTTGCATATAAGTCTAAATCATGACAAAACAGACATCTAACCCTTCTCTTGGGGGTAAATATAGCCAACAAAATTTAAATAAATGAACATACAGTTGTTCTGTTTTAATATCCAAAGATAGTCCTGCACCTTACTGTATTAGAAGAACCTAGTTGTATTCTTTCTTTGATATTGTCTTTGTGTATCCTGATGTAATCGCCTTCCTTTCCAGCTCTTTTGAGACAAACTCTTTTACATTGATTAACATCTCTGTGAGTTTTTTGTTTTACTGTGAGGAGAGCCCAGGGCAGCCCTGTGAGAAGTCACACTCTATCTATCTATCATGCAAAGCCAGCTTGTCTCAGGATCTCAGCCGCTCTCCCTTTGGGTCTTTTGTCTTCACTCTAGCAATAACAATGAAGTGCCTTGGTCACACTAAAGGACTTTCTGTCTTGTGATCAGGAGTCTTGAAGTTGTTTGTGGTGTACACACTATGACAGTGGTTCTCAAACTTTTGTCATGAATATACCCCCTTTGAAATTTTTCTTACTTTACTTTTCAGCGAAGCACCCCATTACCAGTGCAAAACAATTCTGGTAGAAAAAGAAAGCCTACACTGTGAACCCAATGAGTTAATTCAACTCAAACTGTTTGAGGAAACCAGTAACCTTAAACAATTTAAGTTTATTAACGCACACAATTTAAGTATTAAAAAAATATTTTAGTTATTTAAAGTAACTTTTAACTAGTAAGTATATTACACTCATGTGCGGCTATTTTTTTATTTTTAAATTTTACTTATTTAAAATGTGTGAACAGAATTTATCAGACTTAAATACAACTTCTTTATACAAATTACCACTTAAGTTAAATTTACTTTTTCTTCCACTAAAGCAAATTATATTTTAGATATTATAATTATATATGATTCTATTACCTGTCAAAAAAGCTGACATATGATAAAAACAGTTTACAATTAATACATACAATCTTTAATTAGAAAAGTTGTTTAAAAACACGCACACACAAGGACAACCATTTACAGCATACTGAAACTGAGCACAAATTAGATGATATTTAGTTCGATCAGCCAGAGTCAGTAATCAATACACACATTATTAAACCATTAATCAAACCAATAACCTGTTTATCCGGGAAAACTCAATTCCTTTTAGACACCAACTTGTACTGAGCCTCTAAAGACTTTTGATGGGGCTCACACAGAATACACATCTTTGGGTTCTGGCAGTTTCAGTGTCTCCTCTCCTTCATGAAAGAATTAACTTCAAGCCCACACATTTTGCTTAATCTGTTGTTTATACACAGTCATGTGAAAAAATTAGGACACCCCATTAAATATTCAGTTATTCATTAAGAAATGTTTACATATCGATGTCTAATCTTGTTTTTATTTATCTCTGGAATAGAAAGTGATCTAATTGCAGGTAAACAGCAAAAAAATAACATTGTTTTACTCATTAAACAAAAGACATCAACATAAATGCATATTCTAACTGAGGAAAAGGTTAGGACACCCTACCCCCTAATATCTAGGGTTACCCCCTTTGACTGAAATAACTTCAGTGAGACGCTTCTTGTAACCCTCTACCAGTCTCTGACATCGGTCTGAGGAAAGTTTGCCCCACTCCTCAATGCAGAATGCTTTAACCTGTGTGATGTTTGAGGGGTTTCTTGCATGTACAGTCCGTTTCAAGTCACCCCACAGCATCTCAATGGGATTAAGATCTGGGCTTTGACTCTCCATTTCTTAGTTTTCAGCCAGTCCTTGGTGGATTTACTGGTATGTTTAGGGTCATTGTCATGTTGCAAGGTCCAGTTCCGCTTCAGCTTTAATTTTCTTACAGATGGTCTCACATGTTGCTCAAGCACCCTCTGATACACTGTAGAAGTCATGATGGATTCTATGATGGTGAGCTGGCCAGGTCCTGCTGCAGCAGAGCATCCCCAAACCATGACACTTCCACCTCCATGCTTCACAGTTGGTATGAGGTTCTTTTCCTGGAACGCTGTATTTGGTGTGCGCCAAACATGTCCTCTGTTCTGGTGTCCAAATAATTAAATTTTGGACTCATCTGTCCAAAGAACATTATTCCAGAAGTCTTGTTCTTTGTCTGCGTTCTCTCTGGCAAACTTCAGTCTTGCCTTAATGGTTTCTCTTGGAGAGTAAAGGTTTCCTCCTTGCACACCTCCCGTGAAAATTAAACTTGTGCAGTCTCTTTCTGATTGTAGAGGCATGCACTTTCACATCAACAGTCGCCAGAGCCTGCTGTAGGTCCCGTGATGACATTTTAGGGGTTTTGGAGACTTCTTTTAGCATCTTGCGGTCTGCTCTCGGGGTGAACTTGCTTTGACGGCCAGACCTGGGCATGTTGGCAGTTGTTTTGAATGTCCTCCACTTGTACACTATTTTCCGGAAAGTGGAATGGCTGATTTCAAACTCTTTTGAGATCTTTTTAAATCCCTTACCAGACTCATAAGCTGCAACAATCTTCTTTCTGAAGGCCTCAGACAGGTCTTTTGATCTCACCATGGTGAACAGTCAGGAGCACACCAAAATGAATGTCTGAGGTTTAAATAGGGCAAGCTTCCTACAAAATGCTGAGTAACAATGTTCTAATCATGTGCACCTGATGTGATACACCTGTGTTTGATTTCAGCCATTTTAAGTGGGAAAAAATGTGGGGGTGTCCTAATAATTCCTCACCAGAAATTGCATGTTTATTTTATTACATTATACAGAAAGTTTTAAAAAGTATTTTCTTCAGTTTTACTTGTTCAGTTATATTACTTGAATCTCTCAGTATTGTTAAAATTGATATTAAATAAACATATGTCTAAATATGTTAAAAAAAACACACATGTTTTCATAGGGTGTCCTAATTTTTTCACATGACTGTATACAGTAACCCTGCATATATAATCCAGAGCCTTACTCAGGTCAGGATGTTCAACATTATCCACAAATTTGAACTACTAATGTACAATATTTCACTGGATCTCATGAACTATATTTCTCTATCAGGAAGATATTCACTACAGACATCAGTTCTGGCAAGAAAAACCTTTTAGAGTTGAGCAGGGTAGGTGACAGATTAGTTGATGGACAGCTGCAGGAGCTCAACAGAGACATCTGGTGGATGTGTGTGGAGGAGGATAGAATAGAAACAGAGAAGTGCATTAATGTGACATCACACACAGAAAATATGCTTATCTGGGTACGAGGGACCTTTATAAAATATTAGATTTGATTAGATGTTAGAGTTATTGTCATTGTATGTTAATCACAACCAAATTTGGTTTGGCAGCAATCTGTTCCTCTTGCATATAAAAGAACATCAACAATCAAATATCTTCAAGCCACCAACTCAAAGCGTCTTTCTATCTTTCTCAGCTCTGATTGGTTGTTTTCATTCAGGCCCGGTGGATTCTTACAAATGCCATTAGAAGCACTAGAAGGAGCCAGAGGAACCTGATTTTCACAGATTATCTGTGAAAAAAACAGGTTCCTCTGGATCTAAAGGGATCTTAGCTCTGTGCTCAACAACTGTTTACAATCAGTAGGTATTATTAGTATTTCAATCAGAGTGTACTTTCTGGTGTAAAAAAAATAGTCCTGTCACAACTTTTCTATATTTAAACCTTGTGTTCTGTTGACATTGGGGTTACTTCCTCATTGTTCCTGGCCCCATGGACTCCAACGCAAATTTGTGTATGTAAAATAACAGAAATAATCGTTTTTCTTTTCTCCTGAATTTATTAAGTCCCAATATGTATAAAAGTAATGAAGTCATTGAAATATAAAAGATGGACGTCACGTCTCCACTTCCTCCTAATGAACAAAAATGAAGAAAAATATCCCAGACATGGCCGCTGCAATCTTTGGCCATTCGGAGCCAGAGTCTGTACAGTAGTGATCGGGGTCATGATGTAAAACCCCCTTTTAATAGCTTCAAATAACTAATTAAACCAACTTATCAGAAAAATTAACACTTGAACATACATCAGCGTGATAGGAACTACCAAAAATGACAGAAAAATGTATTTGACGTTTACTTTGATTTTACA